CTGCAGAGCAGCCACGTGGGTGGCACCTGGTGACGGTGCCACCCTGAGCGTCCCTGCAGGGGATGGAGGTGCTGGGGGGGGGTCTCCTGCTCTGGCTGTTCCTGGGGAAATGTGACACGGTCCTGTGCGTCCCCCCCGTCCCCAGGATAAGGGATGGGAAGCGGTGGGGTGGCTGGTGAGGGGGGGGCACCTTTGCTCGAATGAATCCGGGAGGGGCCCAGCAGCGAGCTGCCCGTCTCCAGAGCAGGCGCTGCGCCCCGAGCATCCTTCCCACGGTCTCTGGCTGCCTCTAGTGGCAAAATCTCCTCCCTGCTGCCCGCCACGGCCTCGGGGACAGCTGGAGACAGCCAGGGAGGGCTCAGGGATTGCCCCAACCTCTCTGGGGACAGGGGGGTCCTGTGCCCCCCACCCAGCGTCATGGGGCACCCCCAAAGGCGCAGCGCGGTGCTGGGTCCCCCCCCTGCAGCCTCCTCTCCTGCCCAGCCCGTGGCCAGGGCAGTTTTTAAAAGCTGCTGTTGAAAGGGGTTCGGTGTTGAAAAATAGGGATTTCTGACCTGCTGGGGACCCCGGCTTGCAACACCAACCTTCCCGCACGCCGCCAGGCTGAGGGAACCGAAATTGGGCAGGGAAAACCCAGAAGGAAGTGTTGCAATGGGGCTGAGCTCTGCAATCCCCCCCCGGCACCCCCATAGAACCCACATCTGGGTGCCCCCAGCACCCCACAGGCCCCCAACTCCCCTCACCTTGCCCGTGGCCCCGTGGGCGACGTGCTGGGCTCCCTCCTTCTGGGCGACCTCCACCAGCCCTTGGGCGATGCAGGGCCGTGCCAGCGCGGTGCCCAGCAGGTAGCGGTCCTCGTACACGGCGTTGGCCTGCACCGCCGGCCAGATGAACTCCTCCACGAACTCCCTGCACACGTCCTCGATGTAAACCTGCAGGGACGGAGGGAGCCCAGATTTTGGGAGCAAAGCCACGAGGATCCGGCAACCTCCGGGGATTTCAGGTGGCACCCCCAAAGGGTCCCTTTTCCTCCCGTCCTAGGTGCTGCTAAAAGGGTTTTTCTGCAAAACCTCTGGGAAAGGGGCTGCTCGCTGCGGTGTTAGCACCGTGCCTGCACTGATCAGGGGGTGCAGGGGGGGCTCAGAGCCCCCGGTTGGAGGGATGCTGTTACCTTCTTGGCCCCCAGCGCCAGCGCTTTCTTTCGGGCTGCCTCGAAGTCTTCCTTCTGCCCAATGTTGGCCTGAAGGAGGGGAAAAGAATTAGTTTGAAAGCTTGCACAAAACTTAACGCGTGCCCAGGCTGCGTGGAACATCCCCTGCAGCACCACAGAAGCCGCACTGGCCAGACTCAGAGCCATCCAGGATGGGTCCCCCCCCGGTCAAGGCGGTGATTTGGGGCCGTGCCAACCCCTTGGCTCTGCCCCCATGTGCTGCCCTCGTTAGCAAAGGGTCATTAGGCAGCAGGGACAGGCTGTGCCCCACGGGGCTGGGAAGCTCAGCAGAGCAGCAGCAGGGCCACCAGCGCGCCGTGCACCCGCAGGGAGCTGTCATTGTCACCCACCCCCTGCCCCCAGCACCCAGGGTCTCACCAGGTAGGCGACCACGTCGTAGCCCTGCTCCTTCAGCCACACCAGGATGCAGGAGGTGTCCAGGCCCCCGCTGTAGGCGAGGACGATGGTGCCCTTGGGCTGAGCCATGGTGCTGCGAGGCAAGGGGAAAGGGGTTTGCGTTGTGCTGCCCAGCGGAGGCTCTCCATCCATCCTCTGGTTTGCTCCAGAGGTCCTCAGCGGGACGATATTCCCAAATCCTGCCCCGAAGGGGAGGCTGATCTTGCTTGGCACAGGGGTGAAACCTTCCCCAGTGTCCCCTGAACCGGCCCTGGAGCTGTCACGGTCCAGCTGGGAGCAGAGGGATGGGATATTCCAGCCAACACAAACATTACCCAGGGGATGAATAACCAGGAGGCGAGGAGAGGAGCTCCCCGTGCGTTCAACACGCAGGTTCCAGCAGCTGCTTTGGACAGAGGAGGAGCCCTTCGTGCTGCAGCCCTTGCTGGGACGAGCTCCCCGAATAAAACAAGGGCTCCCAGTGATGCTCAGCCTTGTTTCAGCCTGGGGGAAGCGAGCTGCAGGCAGCACGGGATGGGGCTCACCATGGCACGGGGGTACCGGGAGCCCCCCGGGGCTGCAAGGAGAAAGGATGAGGGCGAAAAAGGAGCTGCAGCACCCTGCCCACAGCCCAGGCTGTGTCTCCTGGGAAAGGGTGGGCACCCTGCCTGTGTGCTGGCTGGCACAGCACCCGCTGAGCACCCGGGGCACCCCGCAGCAGGCAGACACCCCCGGGGCCGCCCCGTGCCTCCCTTTGCTCCGAGGAGCTGCTGGTGGCAGCCCCACGACCTGGGGGAGCCTGGCTCAGGCAAGGAGGAGACGGCGGTGACCCGGCACATCCTGGGCACGTGAGCAGCACCCCCGGCTGCCCAGCTCAGCCCCGGTCCAAAGTCTAATTAATTGTTATTGGGAGTTTGTCCTAATTGCGCTGCCAGGGTGAAAGCTCTGCACGGGGATTCGGTGCCCCTCACCTTTTGGCTGAGGACATCGGGGACTTCAGCCAGCAACGGGAGATGGGAAAAGATTCAGCACCCTCAGCTTGGGGGGGTCAGGAGTCATGCAGGGGGGGGATTTTGGGGGCCCCAGTGGCTCTGCTGGCCTGTGGGAAGGGGCCGGGGCTGTCCCCGAGGCAGGCTGTGAATGCGGGGCCCCGCAGAGGCGATGCCAGCTGACCCTTGGCCGGGAAGGCAGACGGCAGAGCCGGCCAGATCCCATCCCCAGCAGCTTTCGTGCTCCTGCCAAGTCAGCACAATCCTGCTTTTACAAGGGGGGAGAGCCCTGTGCCTGGCTGCCCCCAGCACACCGCTCCTGGGGGGCTGCGCGTCCCCACGGCGCATCCCCATTGCGCCAAACGGAGCAATGCTCGGAGCCAGCCCAGCTCCCCGGTGCAGGATCTGGCCTCACCGAGGAGCAGGGATGTTTGACAGCCCCGTAACCACCCCACAACCATTTAATTCGGCTCCCGAAGCCTGCCTGTACCCCTCAGGCTGCCCCCGTGCAGGCACCACCCAGCCTTGTGCAACCGGCGTTTCCATGAGCCCTGGGCGGCTGGGTGTGGGCAGAGCTGGGTCCGTGCCCAGCACACCCCGGCTCTGCCTTTCCCTTCCTCACCAGGGCATTTACAGGAAAGGCAAATCGCCCTTCCCGAAAGGGGCCAGCCAAAGCACAACGCTGTGCTCAGGCAAACAGCCCCCTGCATCCCCAAAACTCATCCCCTCTGCAGCCTTTGGCATCGCCCAGGGATCCGGGCACCTCGCCTCGCCCCAGGGACACATCCTGGAGCATGGGGCCACCCGCAGCTGCGGCCCCATAAACACGGCTCGGTGCCCACAAGGAAGGGAGAGCCTCAAAAATACAGGATAGGAAATCAAAGCAAACAGAGCTGGGCGAAGTGGAACGTTTCGGGGCTTTCTCAGCCCTGCTCATTGTGCTGCAGCCGTTTCCTTGTGAGTTAGGGCACGCTTTGTACCGGAGCGGCTGTTGGCTCTGCCCCACAGGAATACCGAGCTGGCCTGTTTAAAACCAGGAAAAAATAAAAAGGCAGCAAGGTTGGAATAAAAAGCTTGAGTCTCTGGCAAGGAGAGGAACTGCCTTCCCCAGGCAGGAGGGCAGAGCAGCCCTGGTGCTGTCGTGGCTGGGACAAGCAGGCTGCAGGGACGTGCTGCTGGCATTGGGATCAGCCTCGGCATCGCAGGATCCCCGTCCTGACCCCACAAACAGAGCTTGAGGGCATTGGGGTGCTGCCAGCCGGGGTCCCAGCTCCTCTCCCTGGGGGTGGCCAAGCTGGGGCCGCTGTCAGGGTGGTGGGGATCACCCCGGGACTGAGCTAGAAGGGGTTTGGGAGCAGCCTGCACCCCTTTTAGTGATAGGAAGGGGCTGGGACCCCCCTGCCTGGTTAATTTGGGGACCAGCCAGCTCTTGTCCAGCACCACGGTGGCAGGAACCTGAGGCTGGGTGAAGAGGGGACAGCGAGGGGCAGGGGACGTGTCCCACCCAGCAAAGGGCCCCTTTTCCCTTCCGCCCCCCACGCCAAGCCCACACTCACCCCCTCCGCAGGACGTGGGAGGCTGGCTGCCCCGGCTGCGTGTCCATCCTCCTCCTCCTCCTCTTCCTCCTCCCTTATAGCCAGCCGTGGGCAGGCGGAGCTGCCGCAGGACTGTCCCCTCCGTGGGCACCATCCCCAGGCGAGGCCCTGCCCTCAGCCTGCCCGGGGCAAAACGGGGCAGGAGGGGGGAGAACTGGTACCCCCAGCCCCACAGGACGCAGGATTTTGCCCCGTGCTGGCTCTCTGCGCAGCTCAAGGGGCTGTCACCGCTGTCCCCCTGCTCCTCCTCAGCATCCATGCAGCACCAGGGGGGTCTCCCCAAGGCCCCACGGCAGCAGAAAGCAGCTTGGTGGAGGAAGGACGAATTTCTTGGAAACCTCTGGAAATGGAGAGGTGCAGCTCCCACGGAGCCCGGGGGCCAGGAGTGGGCAGGAGGGGAGGGGGCAGAGGGGCTGCGCTCAGGACAAAGCCAAGTTTTCCTTGCAGGCACGCCAAGAACAACTTCAGACCTGGCCCTTTGGTATGGGAAACCCATAACCTGCAGGAAACACCTTTTTTTTGGGGCATCTCAATATGAGATGAGCGTGAGCACCCTCACCCCGGTGTACGGCTGTCTCCAAACCTTTGGGCTCAGGTCCCTTGAGCCAGCAGTGCCATGGGGCTGAAACAGCTTTTGGGGAAGGGGCTCCACCTGCACCATGCCCCCAGGGGCCTGATCCTGCTCCTGGGACCGAGGGACCCAAGCACCGGGGCAGGGCTGTGCCCCTCGCATTGCCCCATCCAGGCAGGCTCACGGTTATAGCACAAGGTCTGGGAGAGGGGCCCGCAAGGACTGCTGAAGGAAGCTGCTTTCCTCATAAAAAAAAAACTTTATTTGGAGCGAACCCATAAATAAATAAGTGCACAGGAACCTAATGGATTAAAACCAAATGGAACACGGGGCTATTTCAATACGTGGTTATTGCTGGGGGGCCCCGCGCCCTCCCTGCTCCATCCCCAGCCCCGTGGCCGCACCCTGCACCCCCTGCAGGACACTCCCTGGTCACTGTCACCCCCCTGCCCCCCCCCCCCCAGTCCCGTTATCTCGTGGCTGATCACAGCCAAGGCCACTTCGAGCTGTGTTTGTTCCAAAACCGCCTGCGTTGCAACAAAACCTGGTGTTTGCAGCAGGCTGGCGGGACACCTCGTCCCCCATGGGACTTGTGTCCCCCCCGGGGCTCTGCTGAGTCAGGGACTGACCCCAGGGGAAGGCAATACAGGTGGGGGCTGCCGGGGCGGGGGTCAGGGGACAGTGAGGGCTCCTCCACCAGCAGGGGATCTCCAGCAGGGAACAGGACGGTGCGAGCTCAGCTCTCCCTGAGCCGTGTCCCCACCCGTGCCATACCGAGGGACTGGAGGTGGCACAACCCTGCAGGGCTGGCACCGGATTTGCCCCCCCCCCAGCTGCATCAGTAGGGGTAGGGCGAGATGGAGATGATGATGAGGAAGATGCTGCGCCCATGCCGTGCTCCTGGGGTCAGCGCCTGTACCCGGAGGCGATGGGTGCCGGGCGCGTGCAGCGGGCGCAGCGTGGCGATGACACCTCGGCCCTGCTCGGCACGCAGGGCGAAGGGGCTGCCCCCATCCTGCTCCAGCAGCGAGAAGAGGGTGCGGGCACCGAGGGCACTGCCCGGGGCCAGGCGCAGGACGTCACGGCCAGCGGGGACACCGAGGGGCAGCGGGAGCAGGACGTGGCGCAGCACCGCGGGGCCATCTGCGCCGCAGTCCGGGGCGCAGTGGCTAAAGCACACCCTGCACCCCAGGGACACAGCGGGGCATCAAGGAGCAGCCAAGGGTGCCCAGAACACAGCACCAGCAGAGCGGCACTGTATGGGCCCCCCACAACCCCACAGGATGGCTCACCCAGGGCTGGAGCCTCGCCAGTAGCCGTCGGGGCAGGGGGTGTCCTCGCAGCGGGCTCCTCCGCGCGTGTTGAAGCAGAGCTGGCCAGAGGCGCACCGCAGCGTGCCCTCCCCGCACTCATCCACGTCTGCAAGAGGAGCAGGGGTGGGTAGCGGGGAAGGAGAAAAGCCCTGGGTTCCTCACAGCCAGGTGGCTGTAGGGTCGGGGGTTGCAGACCCCGAGGAAGGAAGGCTTCACTGACCCTGGCAGCTCTTCCCGTCGGGCAGCAGGCGGTAGCCGGGCGGGCACACGCAGCGGTAGCTGCCCTCGCTGTTCCTGCACTGGTGCTGGCACTGGTTTGGCACCCGGCACTCGTCGAGGTCTGGGGAGGAGAGGGGTGAAACCAAGCAGGGAAGCAGCGGTGTCCCTCAACCCGTTGCTGGGGGGCTCCCACCTCCCCCTCCCTGCACAGCCAAGCCTGGCGAGACCCCGACACCGTGGGTGAGGGCGCGAAGGAACCGGGAGATGCGGCAACAATGGGCAAATGCAGATTTTTAGGCAGATTTTTGGGCACGCAGTGGTCTCCAAACTCCCTGCAGAGCCCCTTGGCCTCCCCGTGCCCACTCACCGGTGCAGGTACCGTTCCTCCTGACGAACCCAGAGGGGCAGGGACCCCGTGCATCCGGCCCCGCAGCCTTCGCCACTCGGCTGAGGGTGAGCCGCGGGTGCGAGCGGCTCCGCAGGCGGCTGCCAGGCCCCAGCCAGCGCAGGAGGGAGTCCCAGGGGGTGCTGCCTGCAGCCCCCCCTCCTGTCCCTGCTGCACCGCACTCGCCCTCCGGCAGCAGGACCATGCCGGGGGGGCACAGGCACTCGTAGGAGCCCCGCAGGTTGCGGCACTCGAAGGCGCACGGCGGAGGAAAGTGCAGGCACTCGTTAATATCTGATGGAGCAAAGAGACAGGGAGGTACATGAAGATGGGGAAACTGGGCAGGGAGGGGGACAGGGACGTGTCCTGGGGGAGCTGGGCTCGTACCCAGGCAGGGCCATGCAGCGCCCAGGGAGCGGTACCCGCGGGGGCACACGCAGCGATGTGTCCCCACGGTGTTCTCACAGATCTGGTTGTAGCGGCAGGCGTGGGAGCCCTCGGCACACTCGTTGATGTCTGGGGACATGAGGGGGACAGGGAGGTGGCACCTGGGGCTGCTCTGTGGGCAGAAGCCCCTCAACTACTCCTACACCCCATGGGGACCTTCCAGCCCCAAACCATCACGCAGACCCTGCCCCAGTGAAGGTCCGTACCAAGGCAGTGCAGCTGCTGAGGGCCCAGGACAAATCCTGGTGGGCACTGGTCTCCTGGGAAGCAAGCAGAGGTGGCCGAGAAGGGACGTGTCACCGAAGGGAAGCAGCCTTTGCGCCCTCCCAGCCACCCAGGACCTGTGAGGGATCCCAGCACCTTCCTCTCCATTCTCATCCCCCTCGTTACCTGCATCCAGGGAGGTGCTGAGCTGGAAGCTGAGCTCCTCCGAGGCTGGGTCAAAGGAGGCTTGGACCTCCCTGGCCTGGATGTGCTGCACCCGCAGCGGCTGAAGACCAGGAGCGGGCTCGTACTCGATGGTGTGGTTGCAGCGGGCACGGGCGAGGCGCCCGTCCTGCAGGAAGCTCTGCACCGAGTCCCCGCTGAACCTCCCTGCCCCTGTCCGCACGTAGCGCTCGCTGAAGTCCTGGGGAGGGAGCAGGAGGGGGGAATCAGGCTGTAGACCCCCTCAGGAGACCCCCTCGGCACCCAGCCCAGGAGCCACGCTCTGGCAGGGAGGGTGGGAAGCTCCGGCACCTGCAGCAGCAGCGTGGCCTTGCCGATGCTCTCAGGCACGGAGCCGCTGAGCACGCTGTCCAGCAGCAGGGTGCCGCTGGCATCCGCACCCCGGGCAAGGTGGGTGATGCGCAGGAGGTCACCTGTGGGGATGGGAGAGCTGAGGGGTGGCACACAGCACCCCAAAACCGGCTCCACTGCCCGCTGGGCGGCACCGAGCCCAGGAGAGCACCAGGCTCAGCTCCCAGTGCCCATGGGGATGGTGCATGGGGGACAGGGATGCTAAAGCCAGGCAGGAGCAGGCACTGCCCCTGTCCCTTCTCGCACAGGGAGGTGACAGCAGGGGAGCCACACGCAGAGCATCCCTCACCTGTACCGAACTCCACCTGCGACTCGTGCCTGAAGGTGCCCCGTGCGAGCAGGATCCCACCGGGGACATCCCCACTGGTGTGCGCAAAGGACCAGTAAACGGGGGCCATAAGGGTGACCAGCACCCGCATCAGCAACCCTGGGGTGGGGAAGAAAACGTCACCACGAAGCCAGCACCCTCCTCGGGGGGCACCCAGCCCGATTCCCCCGGCACCCCACGAGCGGCAGCGCGGAAGTGGGGTGCTGCTCTCAGGATGCTCCTTGCTGTACATTTCGGCTTGGTTTTCTCCCTCTTTCCCCCATGATTTTCACCCAACGCGGGTCAATCACCCCCCCCCCAGGGTGAGAGAGATGTGCCACCACGGGGGTGATGTGCCACCACGTACCGACGTGCCGTGGGACGCCGCTGATGGTGGTGCGGATGGCGGTGGTGCCGGAGCGCGGCTCGTCCAGCACGCTGGCATTGAGGGTGGCAACACCGAACTCACGGGTGTTGATCACGCCCATCAGGCTGCCCCGCACCCGGCGCGGCTCCCCTGGAGACAAAACACGGCACTGGGGCTGCTCGCCCACGGGAAAGCCACCAGAGCAAGGCCAGCAGCATCCCCACCTGGATGCACGCACAGCCCCCAAATGCGCAGTGCCGCGTATCGACAGGGCGCCTGTGAGCTGTGAGCGTGGCCCCACACCTTGCACCCACCAACATGCACCAACACCTGCCCCCCGCATGCCCCAAGCCCCTTCTCTGCACCCGTACGCGTTCCTGGCCCCGATCCCAAGTTCTTATTTGCCTTTCCAGCACGCCTGGCAGCAAAACGCCAGCAGCCGCGCAGAGGGCACGCGGTGCTTCCGCCGCACCGCTCGGCCTGGCAATCTGCTCCCCGAGAGAGGATGTGCCTGGGCATTTAGCAGGACCCCTGGGACACAGGAATTTAATCACCGGCAGCAAATTCAGGAAGCCTGGGAGAGCCAAAAGGCTCACGGGGGCCACAGGCTCGCACGCAGCAGCTGCTTCAGGAAGGCTTTGGCTTGGCTCAGCCCTTTAGCTCGGACAAATGAGTGATGGAAGAGATGGGAGAGAGAAAAACCGGGTGCAAACCGAGGGATTTAAAGTAAGAACGGAGAAGCAATATCCTCCCAAGCTACCACGAGGCCAGAAGCCTCCAGACACCCACCTTGCACCACGAGGGAGGCGCGGGCAGCGGCAGAGCCCAGGGCGTTGCGAGCGATGCAGGTGTAGGTGCCGGTGTCCCGGGGGCTGGCAGCAGGCAGCAGCAGCGTGGCGTTGGGCAGGATGCGGCCTCGGGGCCCCTCTGGCAGCGCTTCCCCATCCCACTGCCACTCCACGGACTGGGGTGGGCTCCCCCGACACCGCGCAGTGCAGCAGCACCCGCTGCCCGGTGCGCACCGACACCGCCCGTGGCGTCACCACCACCACGGGGGCACCTGGGCAGGGAAAGGGACCCGGGAAGTGTCACCGTCCCCTGGGGTTGTGCAAGCGTTGGGGGACTTTAGACACTCAGATGGGGCCAAGGGCAGGAACACCCCGGGGGAAGCACTCACACGAAGGCGCGTTTGCAGCCCCTTTTCCCTGCAAAGCCAAAGTCCATCACCTCCCCGAACCTTTTCTTCTCCTCTTCTTCCAGCTCCCCCCCAGCCTGAGCCTCTCCCTCTGCCCCAAACCATCTGTCCCACATGGCAAAAAAAGCAGGCAGAGGCCTAAAACACCCTTTTTCCCCAAAAAAATGAGGATATGAAGGGGCAGAACTCACTCTGCAGGGCCAGGGTGACCACCTTGGCTGCCGTGCCCGCCTCATTCTCCGCCACGCACCGGTAAAGCCCCGCATCGGCACCCTGGTGTTACGACAGCGTCAGCACAGCCACAAACCCACAACGGGGTGGCAAAGGCACTTCTGAGATGCTCGGCTTTGCCACAAAATCTCCCAAAACGTGCTGCCCACCTGCCTCCCTCCCCAAAACCCCCTCTCACCCCCAGGCTGCGGATGGCCAGTGATCCATTCTGCAGCTGGCGCAGCCGCCGGGTGGCCCCCACCGGCACCCCGTCCTTGCTCCAGCGGATGAAGGGCGCGGGGTGACCCCGGGTGTCACAGTCGAGGAGGACATCGCCCCCGGGGGGCTCGACTTGGTAGGTGCTGGGGGCCCCCCTCACCACGGGTGCCTCTGGGGAAGAAGGGAGAGGGGTGGGAGAGGAGCGGGGACGGCTGGGTGTGCTGGGTCCCAGCCACCCCAAGGGCACCTACCCATGACGGAGACGAAGCTGGTGGCCCTGATGGTGCCGGCGCTGTTCTCGGCACGGCACACGTAGGTGCCACTGTCGGCGTGGGTGGCTGCTGCCCGCCGCAAGATGCTCCGGCCACGCTGCCCTGATACGCCCTCTGCAGTGAGCAACCCCCCAAAAAAAACAAAAACAACCCATGTGGGGTTATAACCCGCGTCACCAAACACTCCAGGACCCCAAAACGTGAAAAAGCCAGGAGGGAGGCAGGGCAGTGCACTCCCCCCAGCTGCCCACGCACCGGTGAGGGGCTGCCCGTCGGCCGTCCAGGAGATGCGGGGCTCGGGGCTGCCCGTGGCCTCGCACACCAGCTCCAGCTGCTCGCCCCGGCTCAGGACCACGTCCCCGGGCCGGCGGGTGAAGGTGGGCAGGGTGTGCACCCCGAGGGAGAGCCGGCGGACGGCCTTCCCCGCCGAGTTCACCGCGGTGCAGGAGTAGCTGCCGGCGTCGCCTTCCTGCGCACAGAAAGGGCGCGGTGCCCATCACGGGGTGCATCTCCACCCCGATACCCTTTTTTTTTTTGGGTAAATTCAGCTGCTTGAGGGGCCTGTGCTCACCTGGACGTGGCGGAGCAGCAGCTCCCCGGATGGCAGGATGGTGATGGTCCCACCACGGTCCCGCACTGGGGCTCCCTCCCGGCTCCAGGACACGCGGGGCTCGGGGACGCCGCGGGCAGCGCAGGGCAGCAGCACGTCCTGCCCCTCCAGCACTGCCAGCTCCATGGGGCCGGCCGTGATGGTCGGGGGCACTGGGTGGGACAGACATCATCACTTTCACACCAACAACCCGTTGGGGTCCAGGGATGCTGCGAATCTGCCCTCAGAGCTGTGGCCTCCGCTGGGGCTGCTGTGGGGGTGCCCACAGCCCGGCTCCAGCACCCAACCCTCCAGCCTGTCCTCAGCTACAGCAAGGCAACACCCAGGGAAAACATCCTGGACAGCCACAGAGCTGGTCCCAGGGTTAATTGGGGTGGTTTGGAGGCAGACTCAGAGCTCGGCAGCCTGGGCTGCTCTCAGTGCTCTGCGTGGCTCCCCAGGAGCAGCAGGGAGGCGAGGGGCGAGTGCCTACACGGATTGATGCTGGGGGCACCGAGCTGGCAGCCACATTTCTGCTGCCTGCCAGGGATGGAGAAGGGAGGAACAAGGGGAGCAAGCAGAGGACCAGGTGAGCACTGAGGCCACAACTCCAGCCTTACCTTGCACGATCAGCCTGGTCCTCCCCATGGCAGTGCCCGAGGGGTTGCGAGCCACGCACAGGTAGCTGCCAGCATCTGCCAGGGAGGCTCGGAGGAGGTGCAGCTGCCCGCTGGGGAGCACCTTGAGCCCAGGCCCTGTGGGACAGGCAGGAATGAAGAAGAGGAGAGAAGAGAGCAGCTGAAAGCCCCAAGGAACAGCTCCAGTGGCCACCAGACACAGTGGGGAGCCACGAGGCTGGCTGGGCACCTCAGCCCTTCAGGTGTCCTCAAGAAGCCACCCAGTGGTGCTGGCAGCTCAGCCACCCAAATCCACCCCCGGGCAGGGGCTGGCAGGCAGCATGGGCTCCTGCTCACCTCCAGCGATGCTGGCACCATCCTTCTGCCAGGTGACCTCCGGCCGGGGGACCCCGCTGGCCTCGCAGGACAGCACCGTGCTGGCATTGACCTTCACCATCACCATGCCGGGCAGGGGCTTCAAGGCGGGGGGCTCTGCAAGAGACAGAAATGCTGCCACCAGCATCTCCCCAGCAACGTGCAGGGAGCAGGACCCCCTGAGCCACACGTACCGTGCACCACGAGCCGGAGGTGTTTTTGGGCAGTGCCTGCGGCGCTCCTCGCCGTGCAGGTGTAGCGACCGGTGTGCACAGGCAGCGCCTGCCTGATCTCCAGGGCTCCTAGAAGGCAAAAAGGGGGCAGCAGGAGGGCTGCAGGGACCCGCTGCCCCCCGGTGCCCTGCCCTGAGCCCCTACCTGTGGGCAGGACGCGGTAGCCGCCCCCTCGGCTGCCCAGCTGAGCCCCATCCTTGCTCCACGACACCGCTGGTTTGGGCACGCCGGAGGCGTAGCAGGTGAGGACAGCAGGGGACAGCCGGGTGACGGCCACATCCGTGAGGTCATCGGCAATGGTGGGGGGCACTGGAGGAGGAAAGGAGGGAGGTGATCAGGGTGCACGGCCCGTGCTGAAGGGGAGCTGGACCTGACGCACACGGATGCAGATATTTCTGGTGCCTCAATTCCCAGTCCCCTAGAAGGGACTCAAATGCAGCGGGGGCTGAAGCATGGCTACATCATGTCTAAGTGGGGGGGGAGAGACCCCCCAATAAGGCAGCTCCCTGCAGTACTTGCAGCCCCCCAGGGCTCACCGTGGACAGACACGAGGAACACCTTGCGCGCCTCTCCGGCGGCGTTGGTGGCGATGCACTCGAACCACCCCTCGTCCCGGGGGCTGGGGCTGGTGATGAGCAGCGAGCCCGAGGTCTGCACCCTGCGTGGGCACAGCACACGTTGGGGACAGCCCCTGCACCATGGGGAGCAACCAGAGGGGGAAAAAAAAAAAAAAAAAAAAAAAAACAACCCAGGGGGCAAGGAGGGTACCTGTAAGCACTGGGCAGGAGGTGTGGGTTCAGGGGGCGGCCGTCCTTCTCCCAGCGGACCTGGGGTGCAGGGGAGCCTGATGCATCGCAGGACAGCCAGGCTGGCTGCTGGGCCAGCAGGGTGAGGCTGGGGGGGCCGGGGGTGATGGCAGGAGGAACTGCAGGAAGGCAAACGGGGAGCTGGGAGCTGCCCGGAGGGGGCAAGCAGTGGGCAGCAGCGCGGTGTTGTACCCATGAGAGCTGCCCAGAAATAACGGGTGGCAGCAGGGGCGCAGGAGGGATGCAGCTCACTTTCCTGCTTACCCAGGACACGGAGATCCAGGCCCCGCCGGTCAGAGCCAGCAGGGCTGGAGGCCACGCAGAGGTAGTAGCCAGAATCCTGCACCTGAACGGGGTCGATGTGCAGGGAGCCATCGGGCAGCAGCTGCAGCCTGGGGAGGGAGGGAGGGAGAGCAGGTGAGCCCCCAGGGGCTGTGCACAGCCAGGAACACGCAGGGGCACACAGCCAGGAGGGTGACGGGCACCCCGCAGCCAGATGGGGCACGTCCCCTGAGCGGGCACGGGGACAGGGGCTCAACTGGGAGCCAGCTCTGGGTGCCACCGAGCTGCAAAGCCTTGTACCTGCTGGTGCCACGAAGGGACAGGAGCTGCCCGTCCTTCCTCCACGTCACCCGGGGCGTGGGCCACCCCTCTGCCTGGCACAGCAGCGTGGCCGACCCGTTCGTGGGCACGTTCACCTCCTCGGGGCCTGGCTGGATGTGTGGGGCCACTGCGGCAGCACCCATGGGGAAGGGAGAAAATGAACGACAGAGCTCAGAGAAGGAGAAATCAAACCCAACCCGCGCCTTTTTTCCTATTGCCCCATCCATAGGAGACCCCAAAATATTGGGCATCTCTGTCCCCGATGAGAGGGATGCTCAGGGAACGCGCTCTCCCCCGGCCAAGCCTCGCGGCAGGGCGATGCTCACCGTGAATTTCCACCTGGAAGCTCTGCCTGCTGTCCCCCGTTGCGGTGCCAGCCCTGCAGACGTACTCCCCCCCGTCTGCTGCCCCCACAGTCCCAGATCCTCAGGAACCGGCCCTCGGCCAGGATCTGCCTGCGGGCATCCTCCTGACACCCCCCAGGGCAGCCCCAGGTCAGCGGCTGTGCCCACAGGGAGCACAATGGGGCTAAGAGGGGGGGGACCCAGCCCCGCAGCCCCCCCGGCACACCTACCCGCAGCGGGGAGCCCTCCCGGTGCCACTCGATGTAGGGGGGCGGCACAGCATCCATGGGGCACTCCAGGGTGAGCTGCCCCCCCGGCACGGCGGTGATGCTGAGGGTCTCACTGGTGTCCGTGGTGCCGAGAGGGGCTGTGGGATGGGTGACAGTTGAGCACCCCCATGCCTGTCCCCATCCATCCTCGTTTATCCACAAAAAGCCCCCCCCCCAGTCTCTGGGGCTACCGTGTTCTGCTCCAGATCCCCCTCAGATGCTTATAGTACCCCCTGATGTGTCCAAATTTGACCCCAAAGCCCTGCGCACCCTGACCCTCACCCCACGCACCCTCCCCACGGGGGCCACGCTACCTCGGGCGCTGACGTGGAAGCTCCTGCTGTCCTCCCCAGCAGGGCTGGTGGCCAGGCAGGTGTATAAACCGGAGTCAGCCACCTACACAAAGCCAGGAGAGGGAAAAAAATGAGCCAAAAACAAGCCAGAAAGAGAACGCAGGCGAGGAAGGGGAGGAGGAGCCCCCACCTCCATGCTGTCGATGCGGAGCGTGCTCTCGTTCCCCGCCGAGAGCCAGGGCCCTGCCAGCAGCTGCCCGTCCTTCTCCCAGGTGACAGCAGGCGCAGGGACCCCCGCCACCACGCAGGTCAGCTCCAGCGGGGCGCCCACGGCCACGGCCATCTCGGTGGGGTGGGACGCATCCTCAATTTTGGGGGGCTCTGCAAAGCGCAGGGGGAGCCGGGAGCGCTCATCCCTCAGCTGCTCCCCAGGGTCAGCGCCCCCAGCCCAGGGGAGACACGCACCCATCACCAGGAGGCTGAAGGCTCTGCTGGCTTCCCCGGCCTCGTTGGAGGCCACGCAGGCGTAGATCCCCAGTGTCGGCCGGCCCCACAGCCCCCAGGCTCAGCCGTGGGCCGTCGGCCACCCTCTTGTTTGGCAGTGCTGGGGTCTCGCCGAGCTTCAGCCAGGTCACTGCTGGTGCCGGGGACCCGCTGGCTTCACAGGCGAAGGTGACATCGGAGCCCTTGGCCACCACCTGCTCCTCGCTGCTCTCCGGGCTCTCCAGGACAGGGGGTGCTGGGGACGGAGCCGACTCCTTAGTGGGGCAGTGGGAGAAAAGCTCCCAGGGGTCCCAGGCACTAGGTTTTGGCAAACGGCCACCATCCCGAGAGCACCCGGAGGTGGCTCAGCCTCCTGCAGGGGTTTGCCCAGCACTGGGTGCTCTGGGTCTGCTTTCAGGCTGGTCCCTCCTTGCTCCGTCCTTCCCGAGCCCACCCAAGGGCCAACTCAGCTTGCACAACGAGTGCTCTGCAAGCAAAACCGGTGCCTGGGTGCCCCCACCCGCTCTGCTCCCCCTCAAATCCCCGGCTCCTCCATACCCAGTATCTGCAGGACGAAGCTGCGATCGGCCACCCCTGCCTGGCTGGAGACAATGCAGGTGTAGAGCCCGGCATCAGAGACCTGTGTGCGGGAGATCCTACCCCGGGGAGCAGGGCACGAGGAGGAGGAGGAGATGTCAGTGGCAGAATCACCTGGAGAAGGGTGCTCCCAACATCTCCACCTGACCCCTCTGCCACGCAGACCCGGGAGCTGCCCCAAAACCCGCAGCCAAGCATCCCCCCAGCACCTCTCTCACCTGAGGACGTGCCCGGCCGAGAGCAGCGTGACACGTGGGGACAGCCGCAGGGGCAGCCCGTCCTTCAGCCAGCTCACACGCAGCGGAGGGGACCCCCGTGCCCGGCACCGCAGGGTGACCGCCGCGGCCAGGACGCCACGGACCACATCAGAGCCACCGGCACCTCCCTCGATGACTGGGGGCACTGGGAGAGGGGACGAGAGGCAGAGATGAGGCTGCTGGGGATGGGTGGCCGTGCCCGGTGCCCCCAGCCCCACTCACCCAGCACGCTCAGCACGTGCAGCCGCGCATCCTCGCCCGCGCCGTTGCGTGCCAGGCAGGTGTAGGCACCCGAATCAGCAGCACGCAGCGCCTCGAGGAGCAGAGCACTGCCATCCGGTGACACCCTGCATGGGACAGCACCGCGGTGACACCAGCACCCCCCAAAGCACCCACGGGGGAGGCATTTTCCATGCCTGGTTGCGTCCCAGGCTGTAGGATTTTGGGGTGCGCTGCAAGGACAGCAGTGTCCCCGTCCCCCCCATTGACTTACTGGGCACGTGATGGGGGCTGCAGCTGCAGGGGCTGCCCGTCCTTCAGCCAGGAGATTTGGGGGGGTGGCTGCCCCTCTGCCTGGCACTCCAACCTCACCTCGCCGCCCTCCAGCACGCTGTGCTCGCTGGGGACCCCTGCGCCAAGGATGCGGGGTGCCACTGTGCGAGAAAGAGAAGAGAGAGGCTGAGGAGGACAAGAAAAAAAAGGAGGAGGAAGGCTCCCCATGGGGGGGAGAGCCCAGGGCCCCTCACCAACCCATCAAACCTCACCTCGCACCAGCACCAAGAAGTCCTTGCGCGTCTCGGTGCCCTCACCCTGTGCCAGGCAGGTGTAGCGGCCCTGGTGGGAGGGCTGCAGGGCGCTGATCTGCAGCTGCCCCCCCCCAGGCACCAGGCCCTGCTCGGGGCTGCTTGCTGCCAGGAGATGGGGCAGAGGGGGTTGTGGTTGTGCTCCTCTGCAGAGCCCTCCCCAAGCACCCTGTTGTGCTCTGTCCCCCCCCAGTTCCCACCCCTGGGGCCCCGGTTGGTTAAAGGAGAGGTGTGGGCTCTGCAGGTTTGCAGGAGGAAGGAGATAGAGTTTGGGGAGCAAACCCCAGTTCTGGTGGCACTTGAATGGCTGGTACCCCGAGAGCTCAGCACCACACCCCTACGTCGCATCCCATGCCCAAATCCCTCAGCACTCATTGCTGAGACAGAAGCAAAACCTCCTAAAAACACGCAGGAAAAGTACCAACGCCTTCATGCTCTGCCTCCTCCCCTGCAGGGCCCTGAGTTTTTTTCACAGTGGAATTAGAAATAGGGAAACTGAGGCAGGGCCGGGGGCAGAAGCCCGGCACGTCACCACCTCCGTGCGTACCCAGTGTCCTCCCGTCCTTCAGCCAGGTGACAGCGGGCACGGCGGTGGCTGCACAGCTCAGGACGAGGGGGCTGCCCATGTCAGCACTGAGCGTCTCCTCCTGGGGGTCCTCAGCACCTGGGGGCTCTGGGGAAGAGGAGGAGCAGGGATGTGGGGAGTGAGCAGGGGCCAAATCCCAAGCCCCAAATTCCTGGCTGTGTTTGCAGCCAGAGCTTGGGGGATGCACTGAAAGGGCCCTGTTCAGGTACCCGCATGGCCAGGGCAGGTGGAGGGCACCCAAAAAACACAGGAGCCACAGAGAGGTGTTTGCTGCCAGCCCCTCGGTGGGAGGCTCACCCCATCCTCTAGAGGATGGCTCCAGCTGGGGGCTGCCACGGAGTGGTGGAGGAGGAGAAAGAGGAGGAGGAGGAAGGAGGAGGGAGGCAGATCAGCGACCCAGGGAAGCGTCAGCAGGGCTGCCTTACCCTGCACAGTGAGAGCAAAATGCTTCTCAGCTGAACCAGCCGGGTTCTCGGCCACACACACGTAGCTGCCAGCATCACCCACCTCTGCCACGGCCACCTGCAAGGGGAGCACAGCCCCACTGGGGACCCCCGCCATGGCACCACTGGGGCTCGGTGCGCAGCCAGCCCCCCCCTCGGGGACCGAATAGGGCCCTGTCCCCCCTGGCACAGCCACCCCCTGAGCACGGGGACACCAACCTGCAGGACCGTGCCCCCCTCCAGGAGCTGGTGCCGCGGGCTGGCCACGATGGGGACGTGGTCCCGGAGCCAGGACACCGCAGGGCACCGGGCGCCCGCTGGTTGGGCACTCGAATCGGACGGTGCTGTTGGTGGTGGCTGTCACCTCCTCGACCTGCTCCTCCTCAGCACCACGGATGGCTGGGGCAGCTGGAAGCAGGGGGGTCAGGGGCTGCTGAATCCCCCCCCCCCCAGTATCTCCCAGCCCCTCCTCGCTCACCCAGCACCTCCAGCTCGTAGTGCACGCGGTCCCTGCCCGCCTCGTTGGATGCCTCGCACGTGTACCTGCCCGCGTCCTCCTCCTGCACCACGGGCAGCTGCAGCACCCGGCCCCCTGCAGCACAGGGGGGCAAGGTGGGGACAGCCCCATGATGGGGGTCCCATCCACAATCCCTTTCCCACCCCGCTGTGCACAGCCCCCACGCAGCCCCGGTGAGGCTGAAAGGGTCCCATGGGTGCTGCATGTGTCAGCAGGAGCAAAGGGACAGGATCCGACCCCCCCGTGCTGGGGATGCTTTCATGGCAGGAGCATTACCTAGCAGGATGAGCACCCCGGGGCCGGGGGCGAGGGGCTCCCCGTCCTTGTACCAGGTGAGCCGGGGGGGCGGGATGGCGTTGGTGTCGCAGGAGAGCGCGGCGGGCTGGTGGAGGACAGCCTGGCGGTGCTCCGTCACCTCCCTGTCCCCATCCTCCTCCTGGTACAGGATCTCGAAGGCTTCGCTGGGGCTCAGCTGGTGCTGGAACAGGGGTGGCACTGCGGGGACAGGCTGCTGTGAGCTGTAGGGAGGGGGACATCACCCCCAGGTGCAGCCAGAGCTGGCGAGACGCACGTTATCCAGCGCACACACACATCCCTCTCCACCCTGATCCCATGGGGGACCCCCATAGGGACCCCTCTCCCCGGGACGCCCCCCCGCTCCAGCTCACCCAGGGCTCACCCTGCACGTGCACGCTGAAATCCTTGTCGTCTGCACCCAGGGGGTTGGTGGCCACGCAGGTGTAGTGCCCCGAGTCCGGGACACCAGCAGGTTTGATCTGAAGGACCTGCCCCTCTTGGAGGATCTGGAGGTGGCCGGCGCTTTCCAGGAGCTGCGTGGGGTCCCCAGCCCCAAGGCGAGGAAGAGGAGTGGATTATACACCAGGGCTGAGGCATGCAGGAGTAGGAGCAGAGCCCAGCCAGCCATACAAAGGGTGTGTGTCCCCCCCCAAAAAAAACAGCAGCTGCTCCCTGGCCACCCTTGGGACCTCACCTGCCCGTCCTTGTACCACTGGATGGTCGGCTCGGGCACAGCCCACGTCTCGCACTCCAGCGTCACCGTGCTATTGACACTGGTTCTCACCTCTGTCGTGGCAAATTCCCCCGAAGGGACATCTCGGGTGATCAAAGGGGGAACTGGTGGGGAGAGGAGATATGGCTGGGAGGAGGGAAGAGCCCCCAAATGCCCTTGCTCTGCCCTAACCAACAATGTGGAGTGCCTCAGGGCGAAGGGAAGGAAGGGGCACTGGCCCCGTTATGTCGGGGGTTGTGGTGGGGCTCAGGAGGTACGGGGAGAGCTCACGCACCCAGGACCTTCACGGTGTAGTTCCTCACGGCCTCCCCAGCCTCGCTGGCCACAACGCAGCAGTAGGTGCCCGCGTCCTCTTCCTGGGCGTTCAGGATCTGCAGCCCGTGGCCACCTGGACAAAGGGGGTCTCCTGAGAGGGTCCCAGCTCACAGCTGAGGCTGTTTATCCCCGTGCAGCACACGAAGACATCTTAAAGGACCTGCTGGCCACCTACAAGCCTGCCTGGAGGGCATCCAATGCTCTTCTAGAGCCCAATTTCTAGGCTTATAAAAACCCGTGTGGTCTCACTGATGCTGCTGAGAAGCTTCTAGCTATTACCCGATGATGTGACCCACCCTTCTGATGGCCTGAGCCTCTCATCTACAGGACGACGACTTCTCATCGCCCTGGGTGTCACCAGACCCAGAACAGACCCCACTCCCACCCCCCGGGCACCCAAAGGGGCTCCGTGGTGGCGCAAGACCAAGGGGTGCCGGCGCGGTACCGGGGAGCAGGCGCACGTCCCGCGAGGCTTCGATGGGGACCTCGTCCTTCAGCCAGGTGATGCTGGGAGGGGGGTAGGCTGGAGCCTCACAGAGCAGGGAGATGGGGTTGTTGATGATCACAACAACATCTTCTGTGGCAGCATCGTGGGCATCTCCAGCAGACGCGGGGCTGGCTGCAGAGAGGTGTGCGCACGGCAAGAGATCGGCACTAACACCCATCACAGCCCCACTGCCGGCTGTAGGGCTCAGGGATCCTCACCACCCAGCTGGGGCAGGCACTCAGAAAGCCCCAAAAGCCCAGATCCCCAGGACTCAACACCCAAAGCCACCTCGTACCCGAAACATTCAGCAGGTAGTGCTTGGTTTGCTCCCCCACGGGGCTGGAGGCCACGCAGGAGTAGCGGCCGGCGTCAGACGGGGCAGCCTGGGGGATGCGCAGCACGGAGCCGTCGGGAGAGATGGAGGTGGCTCCAGCAGGCAGAGGGTCACCATCCTTCAGCCAGGTGACCTCAGGCTGGGGGTTGCCTGTGTAGGGTGGAAAGTAGGGTTTGGGCTCGGTGCAAAAGTTTTTCCATGCGCGCACGCAGCCTGGATGGGGTCACTGCGCTGGGAAGCAGGGACACCAGCCCAAATCCAGACTTATCACAATTTGGATCGGGATTTTAGAGACTGCTGGATGAGCCAGCAAGAAAAAAAAAGGAAAACTGTCCTGAGTAGGAGGTGATTAATTACTCCCATTGCAAAAGGAGAAACCAGATTAGAGGAATTTTTGCTCCGTTTTGGAAAGATCGGAGCTGACGTCGTGGAACAAGCTCCCCGCGTGGGCGCCCCCTCCCCAGCACTTTCCGGACAGCCCAACTGCAAAGCCAGGAACTATCCCCAAAAAGCTCCTCAGCCGACCTCAGCTATTCCTGTGTCATCGGCTGGAACCGGCCGCTTGCTCCGCGCCCACCTCCCACCACCCCTGCTCCCCGCGCGATGCTCACCCGCGGCCAGGCAGGACCAGGTGACAGGGTGGCCCTCGGGCACCGTGACGGCCTCTTCCTCATCCACGTCCTCAATGTGGGGAGGAACTAGGAAGGCGAGAGGCCAGGGACATCAGCAGCTGGACCAAACCAGACGCTGTGTCCATGCACCAAGGCACAAAGGACTCCGGTGCTGCAGCTCCCACTGCTGCACCCAGTGCTGACCAGTGCTGTCCCCGCACAGCTGAAGCTCTGATGCTCCTGAGGAGCCCATCAGAGGGTAGATGTCCCTCCCTTACCCAGGATCTCCACCTGGAACTCCCTCCTGGCCTCCCCAGCGGCGTTGCTGGCCAGGCAGGAATAGTGGCCACCATCCTGGGCTCGCACGCGGGGCAGCCTCAGCATCCAGCCCCCTGTGAGCATGGAGCAGAGAGGGCTCAGGGCACGGATCCAGGCACCAGCACAGCCCAGTGCCACCCCGCAGGGTGGGAGCTGTGCTGGGTGTGAACTCCTCAGCGTTAGGGCAGAAGGCATTCGTGGAGTTCTTGCAGCATCCTTCCCTCATCCCACCTGAGAGCACTTGCGTGTGCGCGCCGGGGGTGACAGGAGAGCCGTTCCAGGACCAGGAGACCGTGGGCAGGGGGACGCCGGTGGCCTCGCAGGTCAGCGTCAGGGCTCTGTGCAGAGGCACACGGATGTTGCTGGTGGATCCCGAACCTTGGAGGAACTTCGGAGGAACTGGGGAGGCAGAAGGGACAAAGAGCTGTCTGCAAAGCAGCCACCGAGACAGCAGAAGAGTGAAACAAAGGCGGCAGATGTTGAACCCAGAAAAAAATGTGGCAGATGTTGAACCCAGCTGGTTCCCACCCTCCTGCTCGTACAGCTTGAGGCCATGAGCACAGAAGGTCCATCAGCAGCCACCTACCTGCACCCCCAACCCTATACCTCCAGGCGTGACACCAAGCTGGCCACATGCCCTACACCACCCCAGTCCTTTTCCAGCTCAAATGCTCAGTACCCCCGTCCCCAAGGTTCCCCCTAAGTCCTTGGAAAGCAGCTGACTTTGTAAAGCAAGAGGTGCTCTGCTCAACCTGGAAAGAAACCACTACTGCAGGCTGATGGAGCCACTTCTGCTGCTTCTTCACCCAGAGCACCCCCTCCTGTCCCCAAACCTTTTACACGCTGCGTTATCCAAACTTGCTCCATGTTTTCCTCTTCTCCAGGCTCGTGATGCTTTGGGCACGTGGTGGAACATCCCCACCCAGCCCAGCTGCCCATGTCCCTTCCCCGCAGCCCCCCGCCGTGCCCCCCACCCTCACCGTGCACCACCACATCGAACTCCCTGCGCTCCTGCCCCGCCGTGTTGGCCACCAGGCAGACGTATCGCCCTGCGTGGACCAGCGCTGCCTGGGCGATGCGCAGCCTCCAGCCCTGCTCCGACAGCGAGAGCCCGTCCCCAAGGACCACGGGCTGCCCGTCCTTCAGCCACGTCACCGTGGGTGCTGGCCTTCCCGTGGCCTCGCACTCCAAAACCGTCTCGCCGGCCTCGATGACGGAAACCTTCCTGGGGGCTTTGCTGCTGCCCCGGATCCTCGGTGGCACTGCGGGCAGAGGGACAGGGGATGGAGGTGAGGCTGGAGGAAAGCCCTCGGCGGTATGCAAGTGGGTAGAAAAATGCCATGGAGCTGGCTGGTGGCAGCAGGAGGGCAAAGCACATCCCAGTGGGTGCAATTAGTGCACTCGTGCAGCTGCAAGCAGAGCGGAGCCAAGAGGGGAGCTGGAGGGGGCCAGGCAAACCCAGCTGGCAGCATCCCTTCCAAAACACCCAGGGCAGGGGATAATAGCTGTGAACTTTTGGGTCCAGCTGGGCCTCGCAGCAAGGCAGAACATGTCTTGCTCAAACATACAGCTTAGGAGAAGCAGCTTCAGCCACCTCAGCAGGACCCCCACGTCTCGGGGTCCCCCGGCTCACCGTGCACCCCCAGGCGATGCTCCTTGCTGCTGCTGCCGGCGGCGTTGCTGCACTCACAGGTGTAGGTCCCCTCGTCCACCAGCCGCACCTTCTCGATGTAGAGCATCCTCCCTCCTGCAGACACCAGCTTCGGGCTCCCGGGGTGGGCAGAAAGAGGTTCACCTGCCCGGGGGGGGACAGCAGCCTCCTCTCAGGCTCCCAGCAGGACCAGATCCCACCCAGAAGCCAGGCACTGCTCGATATAAATCGCTCCTTGCTGCCCAAGGAGAGCAACTCAAGTTGGTTTTACTCTTGGCTGCAGCAGGAGACCCACAAGGAGCAGGCTGGCAACTGGGTTTCAAGTTTAACCTGGCGTTTGCTCATCCAAAATGCTCCTAAACCATGCAAGGGGGATCACCTGCCCCGGGCAGGGGGTCTGCATCTGCCTGGTGGGTCAAGACCTGAGGGGCAGGACCTTACCGTCCTTCTGCCAGCTCAGGGCAGGGAAGGGGATCCCGTGGCACTCGCAGGCCAGCCGGACAGACTGCCCCTCCAGCACGGACGTGGTGGTGGGCTCTGCCGAGGGGAACGACGGTGGCACTGTGGGGAGAGAGAGAAGAGGGGCAGCTGATGGCAGGGGACGAGGGGAGAGGGGCAGCTCCGTCCTGCTCGCCACCCGTGGCACCAGGCTCTGCACAAAGATCCAGCGAGACTGCTGGAAATAATAACATGAACTCCCCAGCTATTAGGAAAGTGATGTTTTTAATTGCACGTGGCCTACAGCAGAGGCTGGCTGAGCCCCCCGGCCAGGCCAGGGCTGGCCAGACAGAGCTTTGTTAGGTAGCACAGCTCGCTGCGAAGGTGACCTAACACTTTCCGATATCGGACGCCGTTCCCATAATTACAGCTGGCTGGAGAAGGGTAACCCCTTCCCGCGAGGGATATTAGCTTTTGGAAGAAAAATCCTAACACCCAGAAACCTCTGAAAAACAAAAACAGCAGAACCCAAACAATCGAGCCGAGCCAGGACACCGGGCCAAGCGTGCAACGTCTCCCTGGGAAGGGAGCGCAGGAGCGGGGAGAACTGGCCTTCCTCCCCGTGCCGGCTGCCTGCCTGCAGGACTCCCACCAGCTGGCCCCGAGCATCCCCGAGGGAAGCCAAACCTGGCTCTGCCCTGGATGTGCTGTGGATGTGCTGGAGTTTGCAGGGATGTGCATGGCGAGGGACGCGCCAGCATCTCCCCAACCCAGGCAGGGGACAGCAGGGGTTGATACCCGCGTGCCGCCGTGATGGATGAGGGCGCAGAGAGCGCAGAGCAGCCCTGGCAATGGCAACAAATTCCCTTTGCTCCCCTGCCCAAGCTTTAGGAAGACAGCTGCATGGTTACTGAAATACCCCAAAGCAACACTTGTGCAAACATTGGCTTTTTCCCCCCCTCCCGTTCCAGTAGGGGATTCCCTACACCTCCAGCTGCATCATCTCGCAGAGCTTTAATCCTTCGGACACCATTTTCCAAGCCAGCGAGCCACCTCAGGTCCCCGTTATGCTTACAGGGTTTGTTTCTACATCTCCTTGTGCCCCGTATTTTCCTGGTGAGTTGTCCCAGCCATGGCAGCCCTTACCCAACACGTTCAGGTTGTAGTGTCTCTCCGGGTGGCCGGGCACCTGGCACGTGTACCTGCCCGCATCCTGCACGGCGGCTCGCCCCACCTGCCACAAACAGAGACGGTGAGATGCTCTGCACCCCCTTTTCCCTCCCATCCCTTCTTTTGCCCCAAAACATCACCTGGAGCACAGTCCCATCCTCTGACAGTGACATCCCTGGGCTCGGTGTGAGCAAGGTCCCATCCTTCAGCCAGCGGGACCCCCGGGGGTCGACCCCTGGGGCCGGGCAGCGCAGTGTCACCTCCTGGTTGACGATGGCAGAGACGTTCTCCTCCTCGCCCGGGGCAGTGGGTGGCACTGGAAACAAACAGGGCAACGCCACCCCCAAACCCCTCTTCCCATAGCTGACCCCACAGCCCCCGAGGCTGGGGAGAGGGCAGGGAGCAGCCCCCAGAAGGGGCTGGGGACACTTGGGGACACTTACAGCGCACCTCGACGGTGGCCTCGCGCCTGTCCTCGCCCACGGCGCTGCTGGCCACGCACGTGTACGTCCCCGAGTCCAGGAGGCGAGGGGTGGGCAGGGACAGCATGCGCCCACCGGACAGGATCTGTGCCCCCGGGGAAGGAAAGAGCCCAGGTGAGCGTGAAACCAGAGAGAAACCTCGCTGGGTTGCAAGCAGTAACCAGGACGGGTGGGCACAATCCTGCCTCAAGCCTGTCCTTGTCACATGGTGGGGACCCCCTGGCTCTTCCAAGTGGCGGGGAGCAGGGCTGAGCAGGTCCGTGTTCCCATGCACCAAATGCAGGGGTAAATTTGGGCAACACCACGTCTGCTCAGCTCCAGCAATTGTTTGGTTTTATTTTTGGAAAAGCCAGAACAAGGAACCAGAGCGTCCTTCTAGAAGGATGTCCCCAGGGAGACCCCCCTGTGGTAGTCACCTCACCTGCGGGCCACCCGCCACCTCCTCGGGCACGGGGTTGCCGTCCTTGAGCCAGAGCAGCACCGGGGCAGGGCTCCCGGTGGCATCGCACCGCAGCGTCACCGCCTCGCTCGTCACCGCCACGACGGGGCTGGGGCCGGCCGTGATCCGTGGGGGCACTGGGGGAGGGCAGGGGGGGCACAGCAATGTCACCAGCAGCACCAGGGGGCCGAGATGGGGATGGATGAGGTGGGGACACCAAAATTTGGACCAGGCAATGCCCATCTGTAGGGCCATGACCTTTGGGGACATTACCAGGGATGGATGTGGGGTAATGGCAAATGGGGCAGACGAAGGGGTCTCTGCTAAACCCATCTCTCAGGGATGTGCCCCCATACATGCACGGGGGGTCCTGGGGGAGCACCCTGCCCTCTCACAGCCTCTGTCCTCCCCCTGCACCCCACGGACTCACCGGTCACCCGCAGGCTGTACCCAAGCTCGGTGTCCCCGGCGGCGTTGGAGGCCACGCAGCGGTAGCTGTCGGCATCAGAAAGGTGGGCACGGGGGATCTCCAGGCGCTTCCCATCCCTGGACAGGATCCGGCCCGGGGTGGTCACAAGCTGCTCGTTCCCCTTGTACCAGGAGATGTCTACAGGGAAGGAGGGGGATGAAATACAAGGAGCATGGAGACGCACACCGGGGACACCCCCAGGGAAGCTCGAGGGAGGGGACAGGCTCACCGGGAGCTGGCACCCCTGTGGCCAGGCACTCCAGGGACGCCGTGCTGTTCTCCAGGACAGCCAGGTCCACCTCGCTGGGCTCGATGTTCGGAGGCACTGCAACCCAAGCATGCGTGGCATCAGCTCTGCGCAGCCCAAAACCCAAACCGGCTGCACGGCACGCACCAGTCCCCATTCTGGGAGGGAACCACAGCACTGCACGGTGCCACCGCTGCCCTCCAAGTCAGTGACAAGATTTTTTTTCTCTGCACCCTGCCTGGTTTCTCACCCAGCACCTTCAGCATCACGTCCTGCTCGTCCTCCCCTGCGGGGTTGGCTGCGACACAGGTGTAGACACCTTCATCGGTCAGGTCAGCCTTCTCGATCTAGAGGGAGGAGGGAGGGTTCCCGGCTAGCTTTGGTCACCTGTAACCCCCCCTCCTCAGCTCCTGCAGCCCCAGGGCACACAACCCTGCCCTGCACACCCCCCCAGCCCCATCACGCCCCCCCAACCTGGAAGATGCTGCCCGTGGCTGGCAGCGGGACCCCGTCCTTCCTCCAGCTGAGCCGTGGGGGCGGCGTGCCCGTGGCCTGGCACCGGAGCGTCACCGGCTGGCGAAGGGCCACGGTGACGGCATCCCCCTCTGCGATGCTGACTGAGGGGTGTGCTGGCCAGAGGGGAAACAAGGCTGGGGGAAAGCCCTTGGCCAGCCGTGCCCACCCTGATGTGTGGGATGGAGAGCGGGTCTCCCCCAGGTGCTGCTGCGCTCACCTTGCACCAAAACCCACACCTGAACCTGGGCCCCCCCAGCCCGGCTGCTGCCCTGGCAGATATAGAGCCCTTGGTGTGCGAGCCCCACGCGGGCAATCAGCAGGGTCCCACTGTCCTCAGACACCACCACGCCATCCGCTGCACCTAGCGGGAGTCCATCCTTCAGCCACCTGCAAGGAGCAGGGCGGGCGGTGAGGTTTTGGGGTGTCCCGCCACCACCCACCCTGGTTTGCGCACCGGGAGCATGGGGGTGCTGCACCCACAGCACCCCAGGGATGAGGAATAGGAATTGATGCCTCCCATCCTGAAGGACACCCTCAGCCAGGGGTCCCCATTACCCATATGGAGTCCCCATCCCGCTTCTCTGCTGCATCTTCACATGTCAGGCTCTGGGGTGCTCCCAGGGAGCTGTGCAGCCCCCTAAGGCAGAGCAGGGGGACGTGGGCAGGACCCCCATCCTGTCCTACAGTGCTCACCGGATCCGGGGCACGGGGACACCGCTGGCACGGCAGCGAATGCGCAGGGAGTCGTTGGCGACGGCAGTCAGGTGGCTTTCCCCATCGCCGATCAGCAATTTGGGGGGAGCTGGGGAAAAAGGGAAAAGGGGACAGCCGGCTGGGAGCAGCCCTGGGAACCTGGCACTGGAGCAGCCAGGAGCTCGGAGAGCACAGGACCCCAGCAGTAAACCAAAACCCACAGCTGCGTGGAGCCAAATTTCACACACACTTCTCCGATCCCAGAGGAGCTGCAGGTTTCAGCCACCTCCTTCCTGCCACCATAAATCCCCGCTCCCTGCTGCAACCCCGCAGCCCCCTTACCCTGCACGAGCAGCGTGTGCCGCACCACGCTCTCTCCCGTGGGGCTGCTGGCCAGGCAGGTGTAGGACCCCCCTGAGCTCTCCGACACCCTCTGGACCCGGAGCAGCGTGCCGCCCGCAAGGAGCAGCACCCCGGCACCCTGGGGAAGGGGCTGCCCGTCCTTCTGCCAGCTCAGGGTGGGCAGGGGGTTGCCGCTGGCCAAGCAGGGCAGCTCCACGGGCTGGCCCACTGCTGCCTCCACCACGCGGCCCTCGCTGGAGATCGTCGGTGGCACTGTAGGGACAGAGAAATGGGGGGAGAGCGAGTGCAGAGAGCCCGAGCTGAGTGGCACATTCACAACCTTATTGCACTGACAGCTGAGCGCAGCCACCCCAAGCTGATGGAGAGGAGATGGACAGGGGAGAGACCCCTCGGAAAGCCCCCAAACCAGGGATGCTTCCCAGCCTCCTCCAAGTCCTGGCACCGGGTGCCTTACCATAAACCTCGAGCCTCACGGTCCTGTGCGCCGTGCCCGCGGGGTTGGTGGCCAGGCAGACGTACAGCCCCGCGTCCGCCTCCTGCGCCCCGCTCACCCGCAGCGCCCGGCCCCCCCTCACGTAGGTGGTCCTGGTCCCCGAGGGGAGTGGGCGCCGGCCCCTGAACCAGGAGATGGTGGGGGCCGGGGAGCCCTGCACCTCGCAGGGCAGCTGGCCAGAGCCATTCAGCAGCACCACCACCTCCACCAGCTCCTCGGCGCCCAGGATGGAAGGGGGAGCTGGTGGAGAGAGGGGCATGGAGGTGGGGGAGATGCTCGCCACTCCCCAAATTGAGCTGCCTGGGTGGGTGAGGGTTCAGGGGGATTGAAAGGGAATTGGGTGGAGGGCAGCCGGGGACTCACTGTGCACGTGGAGCTGGAAGATTTTGCTGTGCTGGCCGGCAGGGTTGGTGGCCAGGCACTGGTAGGTGCCCTGGTGCTGGGGCTGGCTGCTTGGGATCCTCAGCACCTGCTCCTCCTCCAGCAGCTCGAGGTGAGGGTCCAGAGCTGGGAGAGGCCTCGGGGGACAGAAAGGTGCACGCGTGACTCGGAGCCAAGCACGGGCAAGGGACAGAGCCCAGGGCAGGGAGCGATGGCACCTGCTTTTGGAGGGGTTTTCCATGCTGGTAATGTGCTGGTTTTGTCCCAGCAGGGAGGAAGCAAGGGCTGGGGAAAGGTTTTCCCAAAAACCATCCCTGAAAACCTCTTTTTGGCCCAGAGTTTTGGAGAAGGGGACATCTCTGTGTCCAACACATCGTGCTCCCCTGTCACATGCCCCCTGTTGCTGTCTCCTTGACAGGACCACCACCCTCACCCCTCCAGCACGTCCCAGCACCCCCCCCCGCAGCCACTTACTGCCCATCCTTCATCCAACGCACCCGGGGTGGGGGCACCCCCCTGCTCCGACACTCCAGCAGCACCTCGGAGCCCTCCGGTACGGAGACGTTGTGAGGCCACTGGGACCCAGACATGCTCGGGGGCACTGAGGGCAGAGGAGGTGTGAGCAGGGGTACAAGGAGCATCCCAAATTTGCCACCCTCCTGACATCCCCATGCTGATCCAGGATAACAAGCTCAGCATTCCCAAAATTGCACGCTGGATGGGCCCCAAGGGACCGCCCTGCCCCCAGCCAGCTGGCTGCAAGGGACCTCCCCCAGCCCACCGCAGCCCACCCCAGGGTCACCATCGCTGGGTACAGGGGACGGGGACCAAGTCACCCAGCACGAGCAGGGCGAAGTGTCTGCGCGCCTCTCCCGCCCTGCTGCGGGCTGTGCAGCTGTAGGTGCCCGTGTCCTCGCTGCGGACCGCGGCGAAGCGCAGCGTCTGTCCCCTGCGGAGCAGGAGGGGACCCCCAGCTCCATCCACCTGCAGGAAAAGAGGGAGGAGAGGGGGTGTCAGGGGGAGCCAGCAGCACCCCTATCATGGGGTGGGGGTGTATGCCACCACCCCCTTTCCCTGTGGCTCACCGGGTGCCCGTCCTTGTGCCAGGTGATGGAGGGGACGGGGGTGCCGGAGACGTTGCAATGCAGCTCCAGGGGCTGGCCGGCCACCACCGACACGTTCTCCCAGCCACTGCCCATCATCTCCGGGGGGCCTGGGGGGAGGTGAGAGCCGTGACAAGGCACGGTGGCATCTGGCTGCCTCGTTTCTCCCCAGACAGCACACAGACCCGATGCAGCAGCTTTGCCCTGCTGCCCATCCCCACCACCCCCACAGCTCGCCCCATTTGGGGAGCATCTCGCATGGGGCAGGAGCCCCCTTCCCTCTGGCCGTACCGTGCACCACCAGCATGGTCGTGAGGCTGACGGAGCCCACGTCGTTGGCTGCCAGGCAGGTGTAGTCCCCGCTGTGGCTGGGCTGCAGGGCGTGGATGAAAAGCGAGCCCCCATCCAGCAGCTCAGCACCTGGCACAGCGTCCTGCACCTCCACCGCGTCCTTCCACCAGAGGATGGATGGCGTGGGGGTCCCTGCGTGGGTGCATGGAGGTGGGGAAAGTGTTCAGGCAGGCGATGGGTGCCCCATCTCCCACCTGTGCCAGGCAATGTGCGGGCTGCCTGGGGAAATCAGTGGTGCCCCACGGCTCCTGCACCATCCCCACCTTGTGCTACCCAAGAGCCGGGTGCCAGGAGCTGGGCTGAGCCCAGAGATCGAAGGACAGGGGCATAGCAGTGAGGAAGGAGCAAGGATGGGTTAAGTGGAGATTCCCAAAGCCAGACAAACGAGGACACCCAGCCCTTGGGTGAACACCAGCTTGCACGGAGCCCTTACCCTTGACCGGACAGGTTATGGTGACGTTCTCGTGAAGAACCTTCTCCAGCAGGACCTCTGCACCATCCCCCAGGTACGGAGGCTCTGGGGGGTGGAACGACCCCGATGCTGGGTGAGCAGACACCCAGCCCAGCCCTCCCCACCCCATCCCGTGGTCCCAGCACTCACCCAGCACTTGCACAACCATCTCCACGGCGTCCTGCCCCACGCTGCTGCTGGCGATGCAGCGGTAGCGTCCCGCATCGGAGAGCTGCACGGCCCCGATGGTCATAGCCCCGTGGGGCCCCCCCAGGGCTCCCCGCTCGCCCTCCCGCAGCGGGCGGCCGTCTTTGGACCAGCTCAGGCTGGGGACGGGGTCCCCGTGGGCCACGCACGGCAGCTCCAGCCGCTCTCCCACCAGCGCCCGCAGCACCTCGGGGCCACGCTGGATTCGTGGCGGGACTGGGACAGAGAGATAAGAGAAAAAAGTGGCATGGAGGGGTGGCACAGAGCTGTGTTTACAACTCACAGCTCCCCATGGTGTTGCAGAAGCATGCCACGTGCCATGGGCTCGGCAGGACGTACCTTGGACTCGCAGGCTGTAGCGCACCGAGGCGTTCCCCACGGCGTTGGTGGCCGTGCAGGTGTAGAGGCCGCTGTCTGCCTCCTGGGGCTCGGCCAGCCGGAGCGACCCTGACGGGAGGACGGTGTACCTTGGGGCGCAGAGGGAACAGAGAAACCGGCTGGGAGGAGCAGCCGTGCTGCCCTTTTTATCTGGCTTCACCCTGGGCAGGAGCTAGGGGCTGACAGCTCACCACGAGGCAGCCACGGGAAGGTCCCCAGGGCCACAGGGGAAAAAAATAAGCTTTGCTCTGCACCCGTGCAAGGCTGCAGCGTGAACCACCAGTGTGGGGGACAGGGTCACCACGGAAGGTGCCGGGGGTCCCCATGGAGCTCGGCCCCTGCAGCTGGAGCTGGCCGTGCTCTCGCGCCCAGCACCATCTGCGCCGTGCAGACATAACATCATCGCAGCCCACGGCCGCCCGTTCCGCCCCATAAATCACTCGGCCGTGGGGAGCAGCACAGGGCCACGGGGAGCAGCCATAGGGAACGGGATCAAGAACGCCAAAGCAACACGGTCCCTCGAGAGGCGTGAAAACAAGCTGCCTTCCCCACCAGCCACAGCAAGCCTCGGGTGGAAGGAAGGAAGCCACGAACGGAGATTGGGGTCCGCAGTGTGGGACGCCCCTTCCAGCACGCCGCTAACAACGTGCTAAGCAGATCTTGCTCCATCAGGGAAGAGCAAGACACTCAATAATCAAACACCCAGGCACTTTGCAGTTTTCATCTCCCATTGTATGGCTTTGGTGGTCCCATCACTGCCACCAGCCCCACGGGGACAACTCTGCCTCCCTCCCCATCCCATCCGCGTGCTTCAGCATCCCCGCTGCCCCGTCCCCGGGGAGCAGCAACGTGCTGAGGGGCAGATCCTGCGCTGTGAACATCAGCACGTAGCTGTCTGCTGAAGCTGAGGCTGAGCAGATACGGGCCCGAGCCACGGAGCTGCAAGCCAGCCGCTCGCTTCGCTCCAGTAGACAAATTCAGACCAGCTGCGAAACTGGGAGCAGAACCCAGCGTGAAGGCGCGTGGGAGCGAGGGGGTGGTGGGAGAGCGGCTGCCCTGGCCAGCAGCCACCGCGAGCTCTCTTTGAGGAGCAGCAGCGAGTGCTCAGAGCACCAGGGCAGGATCCAACCCCCAATAACCCCAGGAGTGCTCCCCAGGGAGCAAGCAGAGCCGGTACCTCGAGGAGGAGAGAGGCAGCGGCCGGGACTCGCGGCTCCACGCCACCAGGGGAAGGGGAGAGCCCTGCGCCTCGCAGGGCAGCGTGGCCTCCTGCCCACGCACCGCCAGGATGGGCACAGGGGCTGATATCCCCCGTGATCCGTTCACGCTGATCCTGGGCTTGGCTGGATGGAGAGAGAAAACAAAGCTGGTGCAGGAACGCTCCACGCACCCCACAACCCTCAACGCTGTTTTCCCCATCCCCAAAACCCATCCTCCACGTGGCTCGGGCAGCCCAAAGACAACAGGGAAACCAGGAGCAACCACAGCCTGTGGCTGCCCTCCCTCTGGAGAGGGTTTACCAGGAGCTGGTCCCGGTGCGGGGCACTCACTGCTGATGGAGAGCTGCACCTGCCGGCTGGAGAAGCCTGCCACGCTGGCGGCCGTGCAGAAATAGGTGCCGGCATCCCCCGGGGAGGGTGACGGGATCAGGAGGGTCCCGTTGGGGTTGAGGTGGTAGCGTGGGCTCGGTGAGATGGGCTCCGTGCCCTGATGAGGGGAGGAAGAAGGCAGAGACTTTGCCATGAGCTAGCAAGGCCAAGGGCAAAAAATAAAATCAATAAAATCATAAAATAATAATAATAATAATAATAATAATAATAATAATAATAGGCTCTGGGTCCATCAGAGCGAACTGTCTTGCTGGTTCCAGCTTCCAGGGGTGCTCAGTGCCACCTGGCCCACAGCGCACCGGTGGGCAATGTCCTCTCCACACACCACCCAGCACCCAAGGGTGCCCCTGGCAGCAGGACGCCAGCCTGCTCCTGCACAGAGCCACCCTCCCAAGCCCCCCACCCGCTGGGGACACTTCTACCTTGGTCCAGGTAACTGTGGGGGTGGGCACGCCGGTGGCATCGCACCGCAGGGTGACGGCCGCTCCCTCGGTGGCAGCGACCAGGGCAGGACCAGGCTCGATGCTGGGAGGAACTGGGGACAGAGAGGAGAACCTCACCCTGCTGGACATGGCCACAGGGAGCGAGGCTTTGACTCACAGCTTGCCAGCACCCCCAGCAAACCCCCATCCTGTCCCCAAGCCCCTCCAGCACCGTCCCCTCTCTCTGCGCAATCACCGCTGTACACAGGGGCTGCATCTCCGAAAGCTCACGTTTCCCCAAAAGCTCACGTTCTTCCTCAAAAGCTCAGCCTCCCAGGCTAGATTTGCCTAAACCTCACCCTGCTGCAGCTGACAGCTCCTGATGAAGCCCCTGCTCTCGTACCCAAAACATTTGGCACCTGACCCCAGCTGGGGACCAGCCCCAAGCACCCTGCACGTCCCGGCTGGGCACAGGGGCTCCACCAGCGCGGGTCAGCAGCCCAGCAGGCAGGATGGATGCTTCACTGCACGTGTCCAGAGTTGAATTTCATGTGTCCTGGCTGGCCAGCACTCACAGATGTTCTCTGAGGCTGCTTTGTAGCCGCACCGCGCTGCCCTGGGGACCGTTCCTTACGCACAGATCTGGCTTCAGAGTTTTCCTGCCCTAACATGCTGCAGCAGCTCTTCCAGAGCGGTGGAAAAGCCTCGCTCCAGCCAGACATCCACAGCTCCTTCCCACTCAGGTCACACAGAGCTGGCAGCAGAGGCCAGGGGACAGCACCCACCCCGGCCACCCCGCGGGGACACCCGGCCTCTCACCGTGGACCACCAGGGCCACCTCCTGCCGCTGCGAGCCGAGGGCGTTGGTGGCCACGCAGGTGTAGGTCCCCGTGTCCCCCCGCGATGCCTGGCCCACGTGCAGGCTGCCGTCAGGCTGGGTGGAGAAGCGGCCACTCGGGGCTACCTGGACAGGGCAGAGACAGGGAAGTGGAAGGGATAGAGAGGGGCAAACATCCCCTTGCCATGCTGCCTTTGGGGCATACCCAAAAATCCCATCCTTGGGTAGCACGAGCACCCTGATGGTGCGCCCTTCCCAACCCAAATGCTCCCCCAGCATCTCCCACCGGCAGCTTTGGGCATGGATGTGCACCCACGAGTCCTCCATTCCCACAGAGCCCCCACTGACCCCACAAAGCCCCCCCTGTCCCCACGACCCTCACCGGCTGCCCGTCCTTCAGCCAGAGGCGGGCAGGCAGCGGCCGCCCGGCCAGGATGACGCACGGCAGCCACAGGGGTTGCCCTGCCAGCACACGGACCACGGCGGGTGCCAGAGCTATTGCTGGGGCTGGGAGAGAGAGAGGGGAACAGGAAAAGTGATATTAATTGGAGATAAATTAGCGAGGAACACGGGGGAGAATTAATGTCCTGCTTTAAAAATTAACCCAGACGTCTGCCAGACCTGCTGGGGACGGGCAGAAGAGCCCAGAACGGGAATGTGCGGCTGACTCAGGCTCCCCATGGCACGGGGTCTTTTCTCCCCCTCCCAAGCCACCCAGGATGATGATTTTTTGATTTTCTGCATTAAGAGCATTATATTCATTCCACGGAGCAGTCCAACAGCCTGCCCAGTGACACCCGGATAGCCTCAGCCCCCCGCTGCCACCACCAAAAAGCTGCTTGAGGCTTGGGGTGGCCGTAAGCCCTTGCACTGCCTCTCCTCCGAGGTCCAGAGCTTGGCTCAGCACAAGCCTGCTCCAACATTCAGCGCCCCCAGGAGTTTGGGGGTGTTTGTCTATGGGTCTGAGCGCACACCAGTGTTTTTGGGCAGAGGTGGATGAGTGTTCCTGAACCCGTGCTGGGGAGGGATTCAGCGGATGGCTCTGCCCAAGTGGCTTCAGCCCACCTCGAGCCTCACGAGGACCCACGCACCAACAAAACCACAGAAAACCAAACCTTGTCCAGTGACCGTCAGCTTCACCTCTGCTCGGATTTTCCCAAAATCGTTCTGGGCTTCACAGACATAGACAGCTTGGTCATCCAGCGAGGCTCCTGGAGCACCGAGGGGGAGCACACGGAGGTGCTGTGTGAGCGCACACCCAGGCAGGACGCCTGCACGCCCTCTCCATCACTCGGCACACACTCAGCGCTCACCATCGATGAGGAGCTCAGCCCCAGGCAGCCCGTGCTGCTGCACCACGGGCTTCCCATCCTGCCGGGACCAAGCCACCTGCAGTGGCAGCGAGCCCTCGGCACGGCACGGCAGGGTCACGCTGTCCCCGATCTCGACCTCCAGGTCCCCCAGGGGCTCGGGGAAGTGTGGGGCAGCTGCAGGAGAGAGCAGTGGGAAGGGGCTCGGGCAGGGCCACGCAACAGCACCCACAGGGGTCTCTGCCCACACCCCGAGCCACTTCCCTCCTGCCAACCCCAAAGCCCCGGGCACTCACAGCCCACATCCAGCACCGTGCTGGCAGAAGCATCACCGGCCTCGCCGTGAGCCTGGCACGTGTACGGCCCCGCATCCTCCTCCTGCACCGCCTGCAGCCGCAGCACACCGCGCTGGCTGCCCGCCGGGAACGCCGCCACCTCCTGCTCGCCTGCCCCAAAACGTCCCCATCAGCACCCCAAGGACCCCATGCGTGATGTCCCCAGGGGCAGGCGGGGGTCCCGGTGCAGGGATGGGGCTTGCTGTCTGTGAGCGTCCTGGCCCGGCTTCACCTTTGTGCCACGCGATTTGGGGAGGGGGCACCCCCGAGACCCAGCACTCCAGGGTTACGTCTTCTCCCACCAGCGCCTTGACGCCTGGTGTCACGGCCAGGATGGCAGGAGGCTCTGTGCCACGGGGAGAGAAACATCTGCAGGTTACCCCTGCAACACTCCTTGTGCCTTAATTAACTCCTTGTGCCTTAAAAAACCCGAAGAGAACAGCGGAGACCCCAGAGCCCCTCCACCACCACCCTCCTTTTGGACAGTCCTGCCCACAGCTTGCACAAGCAGCTCCCAGCACTGCAGGAAAGAAAAAACCCCGTGCACAGCTGGGATCCCCCTCCCGGGGTGCCGGTACCGATGTACTCCAGGCTGATGGCTTGCTCGTCCTGCCCCAGCAGGCTGTTGGCGGAGCAGCTGTAATTCCCCGCGTCCTCCGGGACCGCAGCCCTGATGTGCAGGGTGCCCTGAGAGTCCATGAAAACCCTGCAGGGGGTGGGAAAAGAGGGGAAATGGTGGGAAAAGAGGGGAAACCGAGCTCTGAAAAATGGAGCTGATGAGAAATATGGTGAAATTAGTGATGGGGCTTGGAGCCACCCTGCAGACGGGATGGGTTTGCCGAGCACTGGGTTGATGAGGTTTGGGACTCAAAGCCATCTGCGTCAGCCCCCACAGGAGGGAATATTGCTTGGAACCAAGGAGAAGCATCGAGGGTTGAGCATTTTCATCCCCAAAGTGAAAAAAAAACCTTCCCCAAGCCCACTTCACAGCCTGATGTAGGGTGGGGAGGGGGAACCCAAAAGCAGAAGAAATTAAGGTACAAAGCCCATTTGGAGACTTGGGCGCACAGCGAGCTCAGAGAGCTCCTCCCCACCTCGAGTTCCCCTTGCTGGGGTCTGTGCCTGGATAAAGCAGGATGGCTTTGAAAAACACACATGAAACGTGTCACTGTCACCTCTGGTCCTGCTCCAGCACCCAGCCCCGGCGCTTCCAGGTGACGCGTGGCTGGGGGTAGCCCCCGGCCGTGCAGTTCAGCCGCAGCTCCTGGCCCCTGCCGAAACGCTGGGGGCTTGCATCGACCTCCACCCACGGCGCCTCTGCATGGGGAGGGGATAAAAAGACCACGAGCAGCACATCACCCCGTGGCACCACCCACTCCCGGGGTGACAAATCCCCCCCGGTGTGGGGCAGAGCCTACCCTGGATGAAGAGCCAGACGGAGGCGGTGGCGGTGCCGTGGGCACTGCGGGCGATGCACTCGTAGGGGCCCGCGTCCCCCGGCTGCACGCGGCTGATCTCCAGCGAGTGGTTCTGCAGCAGCCTGGCCCTGCCGCCCTCCTGCAGGGCCACCCTCCCGTCCCAGCTCCACGTCAGGTTGTAGGGCACGGCGCTCAGCACGGGGCAGGACAGCACCACGTTGTGGCCCGGCGAAGCCGTGATGTTGCCCGGAGCCTGGAGACGCGGCGGTGGCTCTGCAAAGGCAGCGTGCTGGGCTGGAAGGAGCCTGAACCTGGGGACCCCCGGGGACCAGAGCTCGGCAGGAGCTGCACCCACCTGAGACGGAGATGTAGGCTGCGAGCCCGTGCCACCCCAACCTTGTTCGTGGCCGTGCACTCATAGAACCCTTCGTCGCTCTTGGATGCCGCGGGGATCAGCCAGCTGACGTTCCCTGAACCTCTATGAAAAAGAAACCACAGGATCAGCCCCATTCCAGGCACCGGAGCTGGGAATGCCATGCCCACAGCTGCTCCAAATTCCTTGGGATTTCTCCTGGGCATCACACGGACACATCCCTCGGGATTCTCCACGACTCCCTCAGGATGCTCACAGCCAGCAGTGCCCAGGGTGGCGCACAGCATCCCTCCACCAGCATCATCAGGGGGTTGTGCTGCCTCCGTGTGAGTGCAGCAGGGAGCAAACTGGGCCAAACTGGAGACCAACCTGAATTTTTTCTCCTCCCCAAGCTTGGCCCCAGCCCGGCTGAGCTGCATGCGGAAGGGCAGCTCGCTGTGCGCCCAGCAGGAGACCCACTGCGGCTCGCAGCGGTAAGCCCGGATCCTGCTGGAGATGTTCACCTGGGGCAGGCCTGGAAGTAGTTGGGGACACACACAGACATGTAACGCTCCTTGGGAGACACCAGGAAAGGCAGATTTAAAATACCAAGGCGGAAAGCAAAGCAGAAGGGTGCTGGAAAGGAGCCTTTGAGCTCCCTGGAGAAGCGGTGCTGAGCAGGGACCGCTCACCGGGGACCACGCTGGTGTAGGTGACGCTGGAGAGGCGGTGCAGGGGGTGGCCCTGGGCGTCCTCGCCCTTCACCTTCAGCAGAAAGTCCCCAGGGGGGGCACGGAGAGGCGAGCCCACCCAGAGCTGCCCCGAGGAGGCGTTGGAGAGGGGCCGCAGGGGCAGCGAGAGGAGGGCACGGCCGGAGCTGTTGAAGAGCTCGATCTCCTGCAGACGTCCTGGGGGCTCCAGGCCGCTGCAGTTCACCACCACGGAGACGGGCAGGCCTGGGAGAAAAGCAAAATTTAGACGTGTTCCCAGCTGCAGGAGGCAGAGTGCACATCGTGGCAAGCGCCAGCCTCACCTTGCAGCGGCCGCTCCCCGGGCTGGATGCTGTCGGGGTCCGGCTGGGTGGAGAAGCTGGCTTGGAAATTGATGCTGCTGACGCCCGTGATCCTCACCGAGTGGCGGCCGCTGCTCTGGGTCTGCAAGCAGGACGAGGGGCACTTGCCGAGGGCAGAAGGGGAAGGAAAAGGGCAGCAGCCAGCCCCTTGCACCCGCTCAGGCAGCTCAGTGCCCATCAGGAGAGCCCCGAGCACGGGAGAGGGGCAGGGGCTCCGTGCGCTCCTTTATTTTTTTTTGGGGTGTCCCACCTGGAGGGGACGACGCACAGGACCTGGCACCAGCCTACCTTGACCTGCCACATCCCTGGCTCGTGGGGCTGCACCGCCACCACCACGGCCGAGTCGGGGATGCTGAGCAGCTCCTTCAGGTCGCGGCCCTTCTCCAGCACCTTCCCTGCAAGGAGAAGCAAAGCTCTGGGACAGGGCACCCCAGTGCTTCCCCAGCCCCTGCAGCCAGCCAGGAGCCCTCCATCACGCACCTCTCGCTGCTGGAGGAAAACAGGGACCAGGGGGATCCCCCACAAATGCTCCCCCCAAAGCATCTCCCCTCTGCCTGCTGCTCCCCGGGGCACCCACCTGCCGGGTCCCGGACCTCAATCTGCGGGGCCGGGCCGCTCAGGGACACGGTGACCTCCTTCAGGCTGGGGTCGAAGGGGACGGGCCACGTGTGCTCCCCCCCGTCCTCGTGGTCTGCAGACAGCAGGTGGACTTTGGAGGCCTGGATGGCCTCTTCCACCCACTTCAGCACCTGGGGGCAGGCGGGGGAGGATTAACCTGGATCCTCGCCGTATGGCATCCCCATTTTAGGGCTGTTTCGGAAGCAGGGCTGTATGGCAGGGGCACAAAACCCCAGGCGCACCCCTCCCGATGCAAAGGGAACCGAGTCATTTGGTGTGATTGCAATTACCGGGTGGCTCCTGCTCCACCACGGGGAGCAGCCACATCCTCTGGCTCGCCCATGGGAACAGAAACCTCATTTGCTTGGTTCAAGGCTGACACAGGGCTCCCAGAGCAACCCAGAGGTGCCTTGGGCACGAGGATTGACCCTGAATACAGGGGCTGGGTCAGGCCACCTCCCCGTCCTTGCTCACCTCCTTCACCTGCTGCTTGTCCAGGTGGAAGACCTGCCCGGAGCTGGTGGCCGCGATGCGCTCGTACACGCGGTACCCGGGGTGGCTCCTGTCCCCGCAGTCCCCCGTCAGCACAAACACCACCTGCAAATATCACATCGGGGTCCCCTGCAGCGTCCCACTGGGGACAGCACACCCGGGGGGACAGCACACCCCGGGGGGACACATCCAGCCCCCTGCTCGCTGAGCCACGGTGCCACATCCCCGCGTTAAGGGGTGATGGGGACAGTTCCTCGGGGCCAGGAGCCACCGTCGTGCGCCTGCCCGAGCCACGTCTGGGGGGGACACGGCCTCACCTGGGACTGCTTGTGCTGCAGCAGCCGCAGCAGCTCCTCCTGCTGCTCGTAGTCCTTGGCCCGAGCGTCCGTGAAGACGTAGATGAAGGAGTTGGGGTGCGAGACCTCGGCGGCCAGCCTGATGGCTGCCACGCTCATCTCCGGGCAGTCCCCCCCGCCCTGCGGGGATGTGACATGGGCAGGGCTGGGGATGGGGTCCCCACTGTCCCCGTGCCATGCCGGCTTCCCAAATCCATCCCCATAACGAGGGCTTGCATTTCTTTGCTGGAGCAAGCACAGTGTGATGGCCCCGTGGAGCCACACAGGATCACAACCGAGCCGTTCTTGTCCCATATCTGGTAATTAACACCCCACCCCACAATGACTCCAGCCCAGTGCAGCCCCACGTGCCCACACTCCTGTGCCCACCCCAGCCCAACGCCTCCAGCAGCCACCCCAGGCAGGGGGCTCGGGGACACGGCGAGGACCGGCTCCTGCTTCCATGGGGTTTTGTGCCCTAAAGACCCCGCTGACACGGCTGCATCTAACGGGGAACGCAGCGGGATGGAGCACTGCAGGGCAGGAACTGGGACGGGCAAAGCGCAAGAAGCTCCCAGGGAGCGCTTCAGCCGGCAGAGCGCGGCTGAAATGGTTTAAAAGGAATCGTTTTTTAGAAGAGGGCGTTGCTTTGATGCTGTACCTTGACTTGGAGCTGCTGCAGGCGCTGCTGGAAGAGGCGGGGGTCCGTGGTGAGGGTCGCGGGGCCAACCTCTGCGAACACAGAGGTCCCAGGTCAGCCCCTGACCCCAGCCGAAACACGGGACAGGGACCAGGGTGATGGGGAGACCACCAGCAAACGGCTGCCAGCCCCCACCTACTGCCCCTGACCCCATCTCCAGCCGTTTTCGTTGAATTTCAGCATTTCTGCTAAAAATAAAGCCCCGGTCCTGCTCTCTTTAGGGGAGGTCTGGGCTCTTTTGGAGAGCAGCCACTATTTGTAGGTGCGCACAGGGCTTGTGCAGCAATGCCTAACGAGATGGGAACGGGCTGGGAGCAAAAAGCCACCTGTGTGGCACGAGCAGGTGCCAGCATCGCCATTAATTAATTAATTAACAGGGGCAAACAGCCTGCCCCATACGGCAGCAGGGCGTGGAGACCGTGCCTGACAGCCACCTTGTGCAGCTTCCCCACCGCAGCCACTTGGGGGGGGATTAAAAAGGGGAGAAGGGACAGGGAATGCACTCGGGGTGCTCCTCGGAGTGATTTTGGGTCAGCCACCCCCATCTGAGCACATTGCCCCTGGCCACCAGCCGCAGCCTGGGGCTCCTGGGTGCTGGCAGGGGACCAGCTCCGCTCCCCTCTGCTCCACTCAGTGCACCCAAACCCACCCAGCCCCAAAACCCCGGCCCCTCACCCTTATCCCCAAACCCATCACAGGCCCTACCTGGGTCGTGGAAGGGCACCAGGGCGTAATTCCTGATGAGCTTGGTGCCCCGGCTGAGCGTGCGCTCCAGGATGCGCGACGCCCCCTCCGTCACCTGCACCAGGTCATCGTACATGGAGCCCGTGGTGTCGAAAACGAAGGCCAGCGTGGCCCCCCCGGCACCGGGGGGGGACCCGGTGACACCAGGGACCAGCAGCAGCCAGAGACCCACAAATATCCCTCCGTGGGGTGGCATCATGGGGAGAATTTGCGGTGCCGGAGCCCCCTGCTTTGTCCTCGCCCTGCTCCGTCCCTGTCCCCAAATTGGGGTGGGGGGGGACGGGGTGAGACAGGGGGGTGCGAGGGGCTGCACACAGCAGGGGCAGAGAGGGGACGCAGCCACCCCACAGCTGCAGCCCTGCTCCAGTGCTCAGCTGCTGGGAGGGATGGAGGGAGGGGAAAAAAAAAAAAAAAAAAAAAAGGATTTTGTGAGCCAGCAACGTGCTGGGGAGGCCGGGGGGGGGCCTGGAAAGGAGGTCCCACAGCCCATGGGGGCTGATACAGTGCCTGGACCCCCCCCCAGCCCTGCCTCCCACCCCCCCCCCCCCCCAAGGTGCCGCCGGGGGAGGTGAGGGGAGGACGCGGGGGCTCGCAGCTGAGCGCCGGTGGGGAAAATCTGCCAAAGGCATGGAGAGGGGGGGACCCAGCTGCAAGAGGGGGGGGGAGCTGAGAAAGGAACCCCCCCAGGACACCAGGAACCCTCCTCAGATTGGATTTTCCAGCGACTGCGCGGGCTGAAGGGGTCGGGGTGGGGTTGGGTGGGAGAGGGGCTGGGGGCAGAGACCCCCCCACCCCAGCAGGAGGGGGGCTGGGAGCAGAGCCCAGGCCTGGATGCGCTGAGCTCCCCCCCCCCCATCCCCAGCTCTGCTCTTGCTCAACGCCCCCCCAGTGGGACCGGGAGACGCTGGGGGGGGGGCATCGAGGGCCAGGTCCTGCCCCAGTGCTGAGCACCCCCTGTCCTGCCCCAAAAGGGGATGGGGACCACCTCCACGCACAGCTGCTGGTGCCCAAACCCCCCCCCCCCCAGCTTCTCCCCATCGTCTCATTCATCCCCCCCAGCTGCTCCCAGTCCCCGCAGCACCAGTTTAACTGGGCTTAGGGGGTTAACTGGGCTTTAACCCCTTCCTTGCTGCGGGGGGCTCCCATCCTCATTGGGAACAGCCTCTGGGTAACCGCACCCAAAAACATCCTTCGGAGCCTTCCCCCCCTCCTCGCCCTCTGCTGGCACAGCCGTAAATAAATTTATGGAGAGAAATAAAGGAGGAGTTGGGCTCCATGAGCCTCGCGGGTCCCTTCCAACTCGGGATATTTTATGGTTCTTGATTTAAATACACGCTTTATCCCTGCGCCGGGGTACAACGCGCCTCCCGCGCGCCTCCCGCGCACACCCAGCCTCCTTGCTTACACCTCCTCTGGCCTCCCCAGCACTAATTAGCCCCCCTCGTTAGGAGCTCGCCCAAACGAGGACGTGCTGCCAGGGCCTTGCAGCCTCCTTTCCAGCGGGCTCGAGCAGCACAGAGCCGCCCATGTGCGCATCCAAAACCTCACCCGCGCCGCGAGCCCCTTTGCGCGCCCAGCCACGGGGAGGGGGCCGCCGAGGGCGCGTAATTAAGGGCTGCGAGACGCAATTAGGGGATATTAATAGCAAATTGCTCGGCGGCCGCCGCTTGCCAAAAGCACCCCGGCGGCTCCCAGCCTGCTGCGCTGGCAGCGGGGCCGGAGGAGGTGGGGACAGGCTGCACGCGTCTGCTGCGTAAAGGGGGGAAATAAAAGGGTGTGGGCGAAGGGAGGAGCAGCGTTTTTGGGGTGAGCGTGGCTCAGGTGTGGAGCTGAGGCCTGAATGCTTGTCTCAGCCCAGGAAGAGTGTGGGTAGGGTGTCCCTAACAGCCCCTGCTCAGGGCACCCAGCACCCAAAGGTGGCACCCGCAGCCCCTCCGCGCAGACTCCCGGAGACTGCCTCCCCCTGCTGCACATCACAGACCACGGGTGCCTCGGTACCGTCATTAAGCTTTTATTTCCATCGTCACAAAGTTCCTGGGTTCTGTTTTTTTTTGTTTTTTTTTTTTTTGTCTGTTGTTGGAACCGGTTGTTTTGCTCGGTTTGCTCTTGAATTCATCTCAAGACAAGGCAGCAGGGCATGCAAGCCGGGACGGCCGGCACGGACGACGCGCAGACAGGCTTCACCTTGACAAACGAGGCTCTTCGCTGGAGCTGCTGCTTCTCAGCCCAGAGCTCGGCTGCCTCTCGGGGCAGGGCTTGTGGCCACACGAATGGAGAGAGAGAAGGGAGGGGGGTTTTCCTGCAGCACCGGGTCTTGTGCGTGCCACCAAAACCCCGGTGGGGACCCTGCGCGGCAAGCCCCGAGCTGCTGCGGTGCACCGGGGGCTGGCAGCTCCCTCCTTCACCCCAAAATTCACCCCAAACCTCCTGCCCCCAGCCTCCCCAAAGCCCTGGCAGAAGGAGGGGTGTCCAAAAGGCCCCAGCCCCCCCCAGTTTACATAGGGAGCGGGTGAGCTGCTTGGTGCCACCGTGCCGGCTGCGGGTCACCGCCCGTCCCCTCCAAACCCACCCGAGAGCAGCTCCAGAAGCCTTGCAGCCGACCCCAAAACCCCTGGTCCAGCCCCAAGCAGGGATCAGACCCCCCAGGACCCTTTTCACACCCCAGCTCAGGGTGGGGAGGATGCACCCCTGGCACCAACAGGGCTGGGGTCCCCCTCTAGCTCTCCGGGAGCAATCCTGGGGGCACCCGATTGCAGCGCTTAAAGGGCAGCTCCGGAGGAAAACTCCCACCTCGCTTCTCTCTCTCGTGCCCTGGTACAGAGGCTGGGGGGGGGGGCTGTGCCCCAAAACCCTACTTTTCCAGGAGGAAACGTCTCAGCCCAGCCCCAGCGCACAGGGAAAGGCGGCCACAAAGCAGCGACAGCGCGCGAACAGAGGACTGAAAAGAAGGGGAGCACAGACACTGCGTTTAATCAGGCAACACTGACGGGACAAATGAGGGGGGGACACACACACGCTGCAGTCACCGGGGGGGGGACGGGGACACCCACGCCTCTGCCTCAGGTCCCCCTTCCCGGTGTCATTTCAGCCGCAAAACCGAGCGCAGGGAGCGGCCCGGAACGGGGGGGCTCCTGCCGGCTGCTTGGTTGGGATGATGATCGGGTTGAAAATGAGGGACTGAAATTAATTATTTCGTGGTGGCGGCTCCGACCCAGCAGCTCCTGCCCCGCTCCTGGAGCTCCACGCGGGTGGGTTTCTTGCCGAACCCCCGTGGCTGTGGCCCAGCACCCAGCCGCTCTCCGGGGCTCAGCCGATGTCAGTGATGGGGAAACTGAGGCACGAGGAGGTTAAGGCCAACATTTCCAAGCAGGAGGAGCTTCAAGCCGTATTTGCAGCAGTACCGAGGAGCTGCGCGTCCCGGTGATGCTCAAGGAGGAGGTGGGGGCCCCAAGGAGAGAGTGGAGGTGTTGCCAAGCCGGGGTCCCACATCTGCAGCCAGGTCTGGGTGCTGTGGCCAAAATAATCTGCTCTGGGGCATTCAGCGTGCCAAAAGGGGGCAGGACAGACCCCACAGCGGGACAACAGCCAGCCCCGGCCCTGCAGGAGGGTCCTTCCCCTGGGAAAACTTCCCCTCATCCCCCAGCAGGGTCCTCATCAACCAGCAAAGAGCTCTGTAATGCAGGCAAAACCCCAATTTTTGTTCCTTTTTTTTTTTTTCTCAAATGTGCAAATGCTCAGAAAAGGATGAGAGGGGGCCAGGGGGGCCGAGGGACTGCTCCATCCCACCCCATCCGCACTGGCTGGGCGGACGCTGAATTTTGGTATTTTGGGGGTTGGAAACTCCTTCTCGCTGGCTGCACACCCCGCTTGCTTTGCAGGTTCTCCCCAAAAATCGGCGAGGGGCCGAGCTCGCTGGGTCTGACCCGGATGAGCGCTGACGGAGCTGAAGCACGGCAGTGGCTGGGAGGGGCAAAGCCAATGCAAAAGGCATTAAAAAAAAAAAAAAGGAGAAAAAAAAAAAAAAAGTCTTCCAGGGGAAGTGACAGAGCAAATATTTGCATTTTCCTGGGAATTATTCCAGGTGCTGTGGGTCCGTGGTTTCCCAGCAGACGATCCTCGTGGTGTCACATCGGTTGGCACCAGGGGGGGCCCAGCGCAGCGGGTCGGGGTTGGAGATGTTGGAGGCACCGTGGAGATCTGCAGGAGGGAGCTGCGTTTCGGCCACAAAGCATCAAAAAAAAGGAGTTCCCAGGGCGAGGAGGGAGCGACGCCTTCCAGGAGCCCCCCGGCAGCGGGACGGGGGCACCCTCGGGGTGGCAGAGACGTTCCCGTGGGCTCCCAGGCTCAGGGCTTGCGATTGCGCTCGGTGATCCCGTGGGTTTCCGTGGTGGGCACGGGCTGCCCCGTGCGCTCCAGCTCCCGCAGCCCTTTCGGTGCACAAAGCTCCAGTTTTGGGCTCTCCTCCCTGCCTCTTCCTCTCTGCCACCAGCTCTTCCCCCAAATCCGGCCGCGGCTGCACCCGCTGCTGGCCGTACTGCGCACAAAGTCAGCTCTCCTCGGGGATGGGGAAAAGCATTTTTGGAAGGGCATTTTTTTTTTGCTTTGGGGCTGCGCTCCTGGCTTGCAGCAGAACCTGGCGCATCCGATCCGAGGTGCTGCTCCCGCGGCTGACGGGCAGCCAGCTCCGTGCGGGGGGCAAGCACGCCTTGCCACCATCCCCGAAGAAAAATAGGGACAAAGGAATGGGCTTGGGAGAGAAACCCAACCCTCCGTTAATACTTCTCATGCAGGAAGGAAAGGAAACGAGGCGAAGCAGCACGTGCTGGGCACCGGCTGCCTCCTCGCCCTGCCCCGCGGGGAGGCCCAGCTGGTAAAAAACGGAGAGCAGAGCAATGGAGCAGGAGGGGCTGCCCAAACTGACCCCCAGCTGAGCTGGCGAAGAGGAGGGAGACGGGAAAAATGCAGGAAATGGGGCAAATGGGAAGAAAAAAGAAGCTACGCCCCCCCCCTTCAAACATCAGCCAGCACACGGCGTGCAGGGGGCGGAGGTGGGGGGAAGGCAGATTTTTGGCTTCGTCGTTATTGCAGGCTCCCGATGCCCTGCAATAGTGTATGAGGATGTAAACCTTACAGATCATCACCTAGGTGTTCGGACACACACACACACGAGAGACTAAACACGGCAGCAACATTTACAACGAATAAATAAAGATATCGATCGTCGAGATAGGCATATAAAAAAAAAAGCCTCACTTCTTTCCACCAAAAAAAAAAAAAAAAAAGAAAGAAAAAAAGCACGATACCGTCTCACAAAAATAAAATAAAATAATCCTATAATAATATATATCCCTAGGGACCCGGGCTGGGCTGCCAGCGGCACGAGGGCTGTTCCCCATCACCGTTCGTGCCTCGGCTCCCCGAGCAGCACCCCGGGGTGCCGGCGCCCCGCTACCTTTGGGCTCCGTCTCCAGCCGGCCGGATCCCAGGAGAGGACCACGCCGGCGCATCCGCAGTCTGCTCCCGAAACGTAGGGAAGAGGAGCAAAGGGGGCGAGGAGGCTGGAGGGGCTCTGCCTTCGGTGCCACTCGACCCATTCCCCCGGCCCCGAAGTCCTGGGCGCTCGCCGCCGCTCAGACCGTGGTCTTTTGCAGGTTTTTTTTGGAAAAAGCAGAAGTTGGCGAATGGCAACGGCTGGTTCGGAGTGCAGAGAGGGGGAGTGAGCTCGCGCTTCAGGTGCATCCTTTGCTCGCGGAACAAAAAGGAAGGCCGGAGAGGGACAGGCAAGCTGCGCGCTGCGGTGGTCGGATGGCACGGAGAGCATCTTCCCCCAGGCATCTGCGGGAGGGGGGAAGAAAAGCACGTAAGAGCGAGGGGCAGATCCACAAACGCCTTGGGGGTCCCCAGCTGGGAACGCAGAGATTGTGGAAAGCTCAAAAATCCAGGGGGTTAAACCAAAAGCAGGACCCGGCACGGTCGGTGACCCCCAAACCCACCCCGAGACATCTCCGCGCAGCCCCGCGGGGCGCGGGTGCTCAGCCCTGGGGTGCTGTGAGCCACGGCTTCCCCGGGACCGCCGGCTCCAGGGCACGATACAATGACACAGGACTTAAATGAAGCATTTAATGGAATATTGCTGCAGTTTCCCTGTGCCCCCAGCTCGCCAGCTGCCTCCGTGCCTCCCCTGCAGCGTGCGCAGCCGAGAGCGAGATTGGTGCCGCGGGCCCTGCCAGCCACCGAGCGCTCGCCAGCTGGGTGGGTTTTTGGGCACCCTCATGGACTGAGGGGCTCTCGGAAGCACCCCCCGACCTCCCCACCCGCAGCTCCCCCATGCCGGACTCACCGCCGCTCGGCCCCAGGACTATACGAGCCCGTCGTAGAGGGAGAGGGCTTGCACGATGGAGGGGTCAGCCTTGGAGCCCTCCTGAAACTCCTGCAGCGTCAGCTTCCCGTCCGCGTTCTGCAAAACGCCCCCGTTGAGGTGCTGAGCACCCCAGGGCCCCGGCAGCCCCCCCTCGGATCCCATTCCCCATCCAGCCCCCCCAAGCCCGCAGCAAGAGCAGAGCCACGGGGGAGCTCAGCACATCCCTGGGACCTGGCGTGGATTTGGGGACCCCCGAAGGGCACAGACCCCGCAGACGGCCCCATGGCTGCCCAGAGCCTGTGTTTGTGGGGATGGGAGGTACCTGCGAGAGCCCAGATGTGGCAAAGGGGGCCCAGAAGTGCCTCCTGAACCCACAATGTGATCCTCACCTTGTCCATCATGGCAAAAATCCGATCCACCCTTTTCTCCGGTGTGTTTTCCTCCTCGGGAAGCTCCACCGTGTTGCCCTGCAGCAGCAGGATGGAACACGGTCACACGCAGGCACAGCTCGTGTCCTGCCGGGCGGTGTCCCCAGCTGAGGGCACGCGTTTTTGTCCCCCCCCCATCCCCACCTGCAGCCCCCCCATGGGACAAACCCAGGCGGACCCGACGGCCGGGCGCTTACCACCATCTGGTAAATGGCATCCACGATGTCCAGCATCTCGTTCCTCGTGATGTACCCGTCGTTGTCCAAGTCGTACAGCTTAAACGCCCCTGCGAGAGAGATGTGGAGATGCTCGGGGACCTCGACACGTGCCCAGTCCCGATGGAAACCTGCTGCACCCCCTCACCACCCCCCAAAGCCACCCCAAAGCCCAGGGCTGAGCCCGGCAGTGCCCCACGGGGCCACTTACACCTCAACTTCTCGTCCAGCGTCCCCCTGGAGGTGACCGACAGCGCCTGGATGAACTCCGAGAACTCGATCCTCCCGTCCTGGGGGAGGAACAGAGGGGTGTGAAGGAGAGGAGGGGGCGAAGGTGCCGCTGCCAGCCCCGTGCCACACGAGCCAGCCCCGTGCATCCCGGCGGTGCGAGCCAGCTGCCGGCGCACAAGGCGCAGCTGCCAGCATCCCACCGCGAGCGCTGCCCCCGCTGCGAGCGCAGGGGACACCTTGCGGGTGGGCTTTTGTCATCGAGACATCTCATTTCTCCTCTCTCGCCGCCTTTCCCCACGTGATTCTCATCGAATGAAGCGAGCGCGGGGGCTCGCTCGCTCCAGCTGCTCCGTTTTAATTTCACGCCCCGGGGAGCGCTGGAATATTTTGCGCCTCGAGCGTTGCGCAGCTGTTCCAAGGCACAGCACCGAGCTGAGCCAGGGGGGAAGCAGCATGCTCGGTACCTGGGGGTCCCCTTGTGCCCCCCCTTGCCCAAATCACCACCAAACCCACCCTGCCAAAGCGCAGCCGCCGACCCAGCCCTGAACCCCGTGCGCCGTGCCCGCGGCTCGCGGACTTACTTTGTTCTCGTCAAAGACGTTGAAAACAAAGGTGGCGAATTTGGTGGGATCGCCGAAGGGGAAGAACTGCTTGTAGATCTTCTGAAAGCCGGCGGCGTCGAGCTGCCCGCTGGGGCAGTCCTTGATGAAGCCCTTGTACCTGCGGAGGAAGGGCAGAGGGACGGGCGTCGCGCGGCTCCTCTCGCTCAGCGCACCCCCAGAGGCACGGAGGTGCCGGGTGCCCCCAGCCCCACTCCCCTCGCTGTGCAGCACCCGACCCATAGGGGACGAGGTCCCGGTGGGCATCACGGAGCTGGAGAAGTGCCGAGTGGCCCCGGTGACACCGAGCAATGCCCGGCAGCAGCCCAGAACTGAGCCACGTTCACGTTGCGCACTGGCAGGGGATGGGGACACACCGCAGCGGGGAGCACACGTGGCACATCCACACCTCAGGGCACAGCCCCAGAGCTGCAGCCACCCCCTAAATCCGAGCAAGGGAAGCTGACACCCTGCTGCCGAGCCAAATTCCCATTTAAAGACCCTCCCTCTGCAAGGCTCGCAGCAGAAGCCCCAAAAGCACCCCCAGGACCCCAGTGCCACGTGCCCGTCCTACAGCAGCTCGGCTGTGCCATGGGATCAGGCACCCATGGGACTCATCCCGGCTGCCCCAGCCCCGGGCAGCTCCTTGGGCTGGGCACAGGGAGAGGGACAGGAACCCTTTAAACCCCAAAAAAGAGCTGCTGCACCGGGGGCAATCCCAGAAGGTGCAGGGGAAGGGGACAGCTGGTTCCTGGGTGAGGGGACAGCACTGGGACCCCGTGGGACCCGCTGGGATCCCGCAGGGCACACGAGCATTATGCAAGGCCCTGTCTGGATCCGCCAGCACCCGCTGCAGCGGCCGAGGGCTGGAGGAGGAGGGGAAGGGGGCGGCGAGGTGGGAAACCGAAGTGCCGGTGACATCTTTTCCACGGTGCTGCAGCGCTGACTCATCGGGGTGGGGGGGTGGGAGGGGGGAGAAGGATGAGAGAAAGAGATAAAGAAAGAAAAGCTTGACTGGTTTGATAGGGAGATGAAAGGGAAGCGGTGGCTTTTTTAGGGCGTCGCATTTGGGGGGCGGAGCGGATGGGGTGGGTGCACGCTGCCAGAGAGGCATCGCCGTGTCCTTGTCCCTGTCGGGGCCGGGCTGCCAAGGGACACCCGATGGCACCCCTGGGTGCTGGTGCCGTGCCTCAGTTTCCCCCACCTGGCTGCTGCAGGTCACCAAAGGTTGCGTTCAGCCCCAAAACCACCACGGGGTTGTGAACATCCAGGGGCCTGTTAGTAGGGGAAAGGTGCCCCGTGCTTTGTGCAAACCTCTTGTGGGACCCTCTCCACTCAGTCCCCGAGCACCCCCGGCTCCTGCCCTGCACCCCCAGCACCTCACTGCCACGCAGTACTCACCACTGCTGCACCTCCTTCTCCGTAACTGCAAGAGGAGAAAAAAAAAAGGGGAAAAGAAGAAGAAAAAGGAATTTAGTGTTTGCCCAGTGCTGGCGCTGCTCTGCACTTCCCATAAGCCGCTTCCAGGCCTGGAAGGGGGAGGAGGTGCCCATGGGCACCACGTGCCCGAACCCAGGCTTTGCATCCCCGTGAGCTGCAGCCTCCGAGGCACAGCCCAGGGCTCACCAGGGGGTCACCCTGGGCCCCCCCAGCCCCAAGAGCAGGGAGCCTACAAGGACGTTTTGCTCCCTGCGAGGGGAGCACGGTGAGATGCTGTGAACCATGCGGGGCTGGTTCGTGTGAGCAGGATCCGGCCCTGCCCTCCCACCTCCCCGCAGCCAAAAGCATCCCCAAAACATCTGCAGGAACGTCTGTTTTGGGGTGCCAGCATCCCCTCGACCAGGCTCACCAGCCCCTCGCCCCCCACCTGCTGCTGCCCTCCAGTCCTGGAGAAAAAGCTCGCTGCAGCTCCCGAGCCCTTTGCATGAGCCTGGTGCTTGGCAGCAGCTCCCTCTGGGTTCGCATGAACACACAGCATGTGAAATTTGGTTCCTTTCTGCAGCCCCCCCCCCCACCCCTCCCTTCCCAGGATTATTTTTAGCTGCAATTGTCAGGTTTCCATGCGGTGCTGCCCGCCGGGGATCCCCCGCAGCAAACGCTCCGCGCCCCTGCGCACCTCCTGGGGGAGGAGGAGGGTGCCGAAGGCTGCGGGATTCACCCTGCAGAGCCCCCCCAACAGCAAACCGAGAGCAGCACGCGGTGCCAATGGGGATGGTGACACGTCCGTGTCACCATCCCCATTGGGCCCCCTGACGGGCAGGGGGGGCGCGGTGCTGCCGGTGCCAAAATCATTTCAAGCACGTGGGATGGAGCAGGAGCTGTGCTGGGTGCCAGGTGGGCACGGAGCGCCCCGAGCATCCCGCCCCAGCGCACCCCTGGCACCGGCCTGAGCGTTCCTAATCAGGTATCAGGACACTCGGAGACCTGCAGCCTGCGATGCTTTCGCTTTGCCACCCCTTGGGGATCGCCACGTGGCTTTTCCAGCTCGGGATGCACCCGCCCAGCAATGGATGCTCACAGCACATCGCAGCCAGCTTTGAATTCGCACGTTTCGCTACCCAGGTGCTCGCTGCCTCCGAAGCACACGGATGACGGCGATGAAACACATCACCAAACCCATGCCGGGCCTCTGGGGGGGGTTCACAGGGCTTCGGAGAAACCCCAAAATACACCGACTAGAAGATGGTGAGCATCACCAGCCCTGAGCAGCTCCAGGGTGCCGTTCTAGAGCTCGCCTTGCAGACAGCAGCCCCAGCTGAGGGCAGCTGCAGAGCCCAGAGGAGCTCAGCAGAGGAAAGGCTGTCACGGCGCGGGCGAGCACTCCGGGGAGCCCCAAACCCCAGCACCCCGCTGTGGGAGCGGTGCCGGGCTGGCACGCGAGCAGGGAGCCCGCTGCCAGCACGCTGGCACGGGGGAGCGGCCTCGTTAGTCATTTCCCTTGCATCGCGCATCTAAATAATAATAAAAAAGCAATAGGTCTGAAATTCGCCGGGATAACGAGGCGGAGCGGAGATGTGTCAATGTGCAAACGGCTGATAAAAATAGAGAGCCGAGCCACATCAACAGATGCCAATTACCTTGGGTGGCAAATACAAGGAAGCAGCCTTCCAGCAGAAGGATTTACGACGTGCCTGGCAAAAGGCGCAGGGCGCAAAGGGCGAGGGCTGGCGGGAGGTGGGTGTGAGGGCAGGGGGGGTCCCAGCCCCAGGATCCCCACACACCACAGCCCCGAAGGGTGCAGCGGGGTTGGGCTCAGTGGGATGGCAGCCAAAGGGTCGGCTTGGTGGGGGCTGCGGGGGCAGGAGTGGGGAGAAAGGCTCGGGGATGCTCAGCACCCAGGCTGGAGGATGCTGGTGGGGTTTGGCTGCGCCACGGGGGGGATTTGGAGGGTTGTTTTGGCAGGGGTGTTTGGTAGGAGGAGAGTGGTCGTGGGAAAGGGTCGCACAGGAGTGTCCTTCCAAAAGAGATGCTGAGCAACGCCTCGATCAGATGCAGCCTTCTGTGCACACATCCCCTGGCACCAGGATACCCGTCGGAGCTAACGGGATTTGCGCCTGGAGGATGTGCAGAGGTGCCCCCAGGTACCAGCCCCGTGGCCCCAGGCTCTCATGGAAGCCAACAAAGGCAGGTGGGAGGAGGAAGAGGAGGAGGAGGAAGAGCAGGACCTGGAGCAGCGCTGGGGACAGCGGCAGCAGCGTGGGGACACGGCCAGGTGCTCAGCTCAGCACCTCTGGGAGATTCACGTTTCGCTCTCTCCCGCTCGGCTTTTCTCCCACCGTGCTATTTCGGTCCTGGGAGCTGCCTTTCAACTCCAGCAGGAAACAATTAAGAAATCTGTGCTTTTTTTAGTACAGGAGAAACGCTGGTAACGACACGCGCGGGCTGGGCGGAGGGCGGGGATGCAGCCGGCTGCCTGGCACCCGCGGGGAGCGGGCCCTGCTCCGGGCACTGCCCCTGGGGCTCCCTGGGCCCTGCAGGGAGGGATCCTCAGCTCCGAGGGTTTCCATATCTGCAGTTACCGAGCCCAGGCAGGTCACTGCTTTGCGGCTGCGTCTTCCAGCTGGCCCAACCTCACCGGGTTTGGATGCTCTGGGCAGCACCGATGAGGGATGCTGAGGAGCGTCCCTGCAGCAGGGAGCTGCGGCCACGTAAACCTGGGGGGCACGGCACCCTCCTGGCCGAGCTGAGCTGCCTGGCCTGAGAACAGGCCAGGGGGTGCATGCAGGAGCAGGGCTGCCCCCCACACTCCCCCCAAGCCGTCCTCAGCAGCTCAGGGCGCTCAGCATCTCTCCGGCACGCAGAGCGCACCCGAGCTTACAGAAAGTGCGGCGGCTGCTGCATTCCCCTCCCCCCCCCAGCATCGATTCCGGCGCGATGCTGAGCTGATGCAAATCAATTTGCAGCGATACAACACAGGCAGGCTCGACCCCGAGCGCTCAAGGACAAGGGATTGCCCGCAGCGCGTCCCAGCGGAGCGGGGCCCTGCTCTGCGGTGCCGGGGGGCGCGCATCCCCAACGCCCTGGGGCTCAGCGGTGGTCCCCCAGGGACGGACGGCCCACAGAGGCTTTGGGGCTATAAATAGTGCACGTAGCTGCTCCTTAATGGATGCAGCGTGCCCTGGGACCCTGCGGGATGAAAGGCACTGAATAAAAGCTGGGTTTGGGTATTCGTTATGAACCGTGATGCTGGAGGAGGCATCGCCGAGCCGGGAGCCCCCGCGCCGCGCTGCAGCCGCCCTCCCTCCCGAAGGCACAACGCCGTCAGCACCGATGTTTCCGCCTCTCTTGTCAAAGCGTGGGGAAAGGCACGGGGAAATGCTGAGCACAGGGGCAGGAGCAGCACAGGAGCTGCCCCAACCCATGCCCACGGGCCCTCGCTGCCCCTTTGCAGCACCCCCGGGTGCGTCCCCGCTCCCATCTCGGCCAGCAGGAAGGTTTCGGCCCCGCATCCCACACCGTGCACAGGGACACCCAGCACCAAGGGGACAAACCTCAGCTCCCAGCTCCCTCAAGCAGCACCCAGCCCCCTGCTCCCAGCTCCCAGGACCCCAAACTCCCACCCTCCTGCCCCCTCCTCCCCATCAATCCCCAGCAGTGACAGCGCTGTCACCACCCGCCCTCCGCATGCCCCCTCTCTTCCCACCACCCAGCTGCCACTGCAGCAAGAAACAGCTCCGGTTAATCATTGCTCGAGCCCGTTAATTTGTTTGCCAGGCTGCGAGGAGAGGAGGACGCGGGGCTGCGAGTCCCCACCCGCGCTGTGCCCGCGTGGGAGCTCATCATTTATAGGACCAGGGCAAGGACGGGGCAGCTGTAGGGCTGCAGGGAGAGATGGCCGGACCCCAACCCCTCTGGGGACGCTTCTCTCACATGACAGCACCCTGACCCCAACAGGGCTGCCAGATCAGGAAAACCAGAGTTAATTATTTCCAGCCACAAATGGCACTCGGCCTCCAGCTTACCTAAAGACGACGCTCTCCGGGCAGGTGGATGCTTGAGGCCTCCTAAACCTCCCCGGGATGCTCAGTGCAGCGCCCAGGCGAGGGTAAATTGGGCACCCACGTGTGTGCAGAGCGTGTGCTCCTGCGTGAGCAAAATGTGAGCTCACACGTGAGTCAACTGGGCACCCACGGGTGTGCCAAGTGGGCACCCATGTGTGTGCCAGCCGGGCGCCCATGCGTGCACTGCATGGGCACTCCAAAAATAAACTGTGCGGCTCTATGCGGACAAGTTGGGCACTCATGCATAAATTATTTGGGTGCTCCTGTGCAGATGATTGGGTGCTCATGTATAACTTCACGGGGTGATCGTGCACGCACTGCCAGGGTGCTCAGGCGTGAGCGAAAGGGGGACTCAGGCGTGACCGCGCTGGGCGCTCGCGTGTGGTTCTGTTGGGTGCTCGTGCATTTATCGGGCACTCATGCATGAACTAATTGAGCACTCAGGAGTAAATTAGTGTAATTAGCAGATTACACACTTGTGCACGTACTAATTGGGTGCTCAGGCGTGAATGGATCAGGTGCTCGTGCATAAATTAATTGGACCCTCGAGCGAGAACCGATGGGGGGCACAGGCACCAAGGAACCGGGCGCGCGCAGGGACCAGCGTGCGACCGAGCACCAGCCAACTGGGCGCCCATGCATAAATTAACTGGGTGCTCCTATGCCAATTAATTGTGCGCTCGTGTGTGCACTAATTGGGCACTCATGCGTGAACTTATTGGGTGCTGACGCGTAAATTAACGGGGCGCTCATGCACGAGCTAATTGGCCCCTGATGCGTAAAACAACGCGGCGCTCCCGCGTGAACCCGGCGCACCCTGCAATTTGTGCCCAACACACTCCACCCCGCACCTCTGCCAAACACATAGTTAAGGATTGTCTGAAGATAAATGTGTTATAAACTCCGCTTTCAACATCGTCACAAT